ACAAGTCCGTTTCAGTTTCAACGTTTGGTGCGGTATAATTGGTTCAAAAATTGTTGGCCCGTTCTTTTATGAGGGAACCCTAACTGGTGAAAGATATGTGGAATTTATGTCAGAAATTCTGACTAATTTCTTAGACGAATTGGATCTTATAAGTAGACATCATCTGCATTTTCAGCAAGATGGCGCACCTGCCCACAACTCCAGAGGTACTTATCATTTTCTAAGTACTACTTTTAATGATCAGTGGATAGGAACAAATGGCCCAATACAGTGGCCTCCCAGATCACCAGATCTAAACTCACTTGATTACTTCTTGTGGGGTTACTTAAAGAACCAAATTTACAAGCGAAGGTACGATAACCTTGACGCGTTAAAGACTGCAGTTAGGGAAAAGATAACCCAGATAGATAGACAGTTCGAGCAGTTGAAAAACGTGCCCAAAAATGTATTGAAGAACAAGGTGGTGTTTTCGAGCATCTTCTTTAAAAAAAATTGTTATTGTATTTTGTAAGATTATAAGTTGATGTTGAAAATAAAGTTTGTCGATACAATTTAATTGTTTCAGATTGGAGGCCATAACTTCAACAATTTGTAACCTAGGAGAAAAGTTATTGTAAGCTTTTTTGTTTAAAATTTGATGCTTTAACAGAAAAAAAATATAATATACAGGGGTTTCCATTTAAAAAAATGTTATTTTACTGAAAAAAATCAAAATAACGACTCTCAATTGTTTTTTTTTTATTTCTCATTTTTACCAGCGTTAAAAATGCTACTAGTTTGCTAATTCAAACAACTTTGTATTTTCACTAATAACAAAGTTACTAATGGTGGACACTTAATTTGGATAACCCTGTAGATGGGCCAAGGATCAGCGGACAGACAAACGGAAAGATAGACGGACCCAAGGAAACGAATGATACAATTTTTCGTGATGTGCATGTAATGCATCATCCAAAAAAACATATTTCATTTTCAAATTACATGCTGCAATGTGTGAACCTACCCTAACATTGACTTAGCACCCAAATCTTAGCGCGCCAATAATCAGGTCTGGCCATGTACGAGTACATACAAGTAGGTGGTGGGGAGTATGACAGTTGATTTATTTTGATGATTAGTCGTTTGTTTTTCTGGCGGTCGGTTGATGGTCGGTGTGCAGCTTCCGAAGTTTTTTTTCGAAAAGACGATAATAATCGGTAATGTAGGAAGTGAAATATGAATGAAAGTGTTAAGAGATAGTTTTATTGATATCGGTTTACTATGACTGCGTACTAAATGTTGTGGAAACCTACCTATACCTTTGGAGTTCTAGAGATTAAAATTGGTAGCTATTGGTAAGTTTACCATTTTATCTGACTGATCGCATGCATGTAACTAGGAAGACTTGTAGCTTATAATAGTCTAATCATATTAGCAAATTTCCCCGAAATAATTGTAAAGTCTGGTTTTATTGGTGCAAGTAGTTCAAGAGGGTATTTAAAACATGGACGCATAAAATGGGTACACCAATTCTTGTGGAAAAACTTTTTATTTGACAACAAAGAATGAGAAAACGTGTTTTCTGGGATTCAATTATTTCACAAACCAGGGGTATTTTCGTCTAATATGATTAGATTATAAGTAGATGTAGGGTGTAGAAGGATTTATTGCAATATAAAAGCGATATTCAGTTTTTCTTTCAAATTCCATCTCGAAAAAATCACTTTCACGTATAGGTATGTATTGAAAATCTAAGTATTAGTAAAGTACTTAATAATAAAGCATTTATTGTCCAACAGTGAGCCTCAGAGTAAAAAAAAAACAAAAAAGAGAAAGGCGCCTCAAGTAGGTAGAGAGAAAAGAAACTATGAATATGGTTAATAGATAATAGCATAAATAGCTATATCGTGTAATGTTCAACCGTAAATATACAAGGTGAGTCTTCATAAAGTGCACATATGAAAATCAAGGAAACTACACCTCTACTTCATTGACGAAAAAATTATCAAAAAAAACATTGATTAATAATTTTTTATGAATATTTTCAAACTTTTAGTGGCAGCTGCTAACCCTATTCAAATAAATCGTTACAGCTGTTAACCAAATGTCCTATAATATTGGAATAAATTTTGTAGTGATAGCTAATAATAGGCCGTGCCATAAAGTAAATCTTTCTAAAAATTTTAAAATTATTGTAAAAATGATGAAAAAAAAACAGATTTTCATTAAATTTCTCTTTATTTTAAATTTATGGCGTTGCTTTTGTCAATTTTTTTTACTGTATGGGCCATTTTTTATTATAAGAACGTTTTGCTGTTTAGATTCGGCACATGTTCTATTCTATTCTATTCTATTAGCAATCACTACAAAATTTATTCCAATATGATGGGACATTTAGTTTAAAAGTTGTAACGATTTATTTAAATAGGGCTAACAGCTGCCACTAAAAATTTGAAAATATTCATAAAAAAATGGATTGATGTTTTTTAATTTTTTATAATTTTTCCGTCGATGAAATAGGGTCTGAAGTTCCCTTGATTTTGATACGTGCACTTTATGAACACTCACTCTGTATAACAAAAGAAAACGTCTATAGAAAGGGGTAAAAAAGTCTTAGGAGTGAGCGTATAGCACTTCTTAATTCCTTAAATCCACAACAGAAGTTACTCCCAATCCTATTGGCATTTTTGCGCATAAAATTTGTTGATGCTTTATAGCTATAGATTTGTCTGTGCCCTCTTGCAGTAAAATGAAAATTTCTATGTGAATGTCAATCTAGGTACCAGAACATCAATTTGCGATAGCAAAACAGGACAGTTGATGTTACCATGTAGTAATTTGTTTAAAAATATGATCGGCCCCTCCTCGCTGCGCTTCTGCAAAGAAAGGACACCAAATCTATTCAATAACAATGAGTAGTCATATCTTCTTGGAGGATAGATACCATCACTCTTACACCTACGAGCCCCTTCCCACTTCCGTTGGCCCACTTCAAGATTTGTACCAAAATATGCATTTATAAACTAAACATAACGAAACTATTTACTTCTAAAACAATTTATTTTCTCAAAAACATTTTAGATACCCTCTAGTCGTAAAAAATACATATTTGAAATCACTTAGACCTATAACTAATAGAACATCTGAACAAATAAACAATGTGCGATTAAATGCGCGAAGTTAACAAAGCAACAATTGAAAGATTACCATTGGGTAACATCACCTTTATTTTTTATTACGGCTGAAATTCTTTGGGGCATAGTGTTAACCAAGTTATGGCAAAAATTTGCTGCAAAACAATCCCATATTTCTTGAAGCTTTTGTCTCAGTTCGGTGATTGTACGAGCAGGATGTTGTCGTAGAACCTTTTTCATCTCGTGCCACAAAGTTTCAATAGGTGACAGATCTGGACTGTTAGAAACCCATTTCAAAAGTGGTACATTATTTTCTTCCATCCATTTTATTGCCTTTTTTGAGGTATGGCACGCTGCACCATCTTGCTGAAACACAAAATCTTGGGATGTGAAACATTCTTCCATCACTGGTAAAAGCGATTCTTCTAAAATTGCCAAATATTTGTTTGTATCCACATTTCCATCAATAAAATGAAGTTTTCCTAATCCTTTGGATGACATACTGCCCCAGACCATAATGGATGCTGGAAATTTCACTTTTCTCTTCAGACAGTCAACATGGAATGCTTCATCTTTTTGCGAATAACTCTACTGCGTCTGTCACCAACACTTACTTCGAATCGGGCCTCATCATTCTATTGTATTGCACACCATTGTTGAGGTGTCCATTGTCTATGTTCTGTAGCCCATCTAAGCCGATTTTTCTTTCGTAGTGGAGTTAATTAATAGAATTAATTTTCTTTGGCCTATAAACAAGTTGTGCAACTTTAGGGTTTTTACTTCACTTTTTTTATAAGAAAACTTACCTTGCAAGTGCTAAATCCCAGTTTGTGGGCTCTCTATGAGTTGAGGACCTCGAAATTCTCCTTCCAACAGAGTCACTCCACAGAGCACTTAATTGTAAATAATTGGCACGCTTGTTTTTCACGATTATTCTTCTTAATGCTCTTCGGTCGGCATTTGTGATATTACTTTTTTTCACATATCGTGGTTTAATATTAACTGAACCAGTTACGTTATATCTTCTAACAATATTTCTCACACTGTGCCGCGATAACTCTAACAAAGTTGCAATTTCTGAGTTTGATTTCCCAGAATTAAAAAATTTAATTATCAGTAACCGAATTTTCTCACTAATAACCTTTCCTCTACCCATTTTGAAAACCTTAACTACCCAAAACTATTTTAAACGTATTGTGACAGCTGTGATTAATAAAAACAATTGTCATGGCTTTTATTTTTCACAGCCACCTATGCGTTATAGACTTATTTTGCATTGAAATGAAAATAGGTTGATATGCTGTGATTGCAACATGTGTTATTTTTATGCTGCAAATTTGATTAGGGAGTGATAAAATTGGTGTTTTCTACTATATATTATCAAAATATTCATTGTTAATATTTTAAACCTATAACACCCTGCTACATTTCTATTATTTGTGTTTGATAAGAAAAAAACTAAGATTTCAATAGTTGGGCCAACTGAAGTGGGAAGGGGCTCGTGTAGCATAGATGTTTCAATATTATTTTTGTAGAGTTCATATAATAATAGCACCGTATTCCTCGTAATTTACCTATAATAAGTACTGAAAATAGTTTAATAGCTATTGATATATTGAAATTCCTTCAATCTCTAATAATAAAGCTATATGTGCGTGGGCATTACATATTTTTAATTTCACTGATGTGGTAGTTAAAGGTGAGCTGTAAATCGAAATACACGTCTAAATCTTTGTAAGTTTCATACCTTTCCAATACAGAAACATTCATTTTGCATGGCAAAGTAAAAAAAATTGAGTAATAATGGACTGACAGGAATAAGAACCTCTTTGATCAATTTGTTAAAAAAATCGTCGAAATTCAAATCTATCACCGACAAGTACATACCTATGATAAGAAACATGGCATCTTGGTGGTCAACCAAAACCAAAGCGACCGCAGCTCCGCAAATGCACATTATAGCCACGTTATAGACGGATAGACCTACGTGTCTGCTATCGTTCAGAGCCGGTATAGAGACATGTCTAGTTTCCCAGGCAAGGAACGCGCCAAATATCTAAAAAAACAAATAGGTTCCTGTGATCGAAAGGAAAAGAAAAATTGGGATCTTAAACCAATGAAAAGGTACGATTTGTCATTAATAAAATGGACGCGTTCATTTCAGTTTTGTTAGATGCAAATTTTAAAGTTAAAACTGAAATATTGTGAAACATAATATGGCGAATTTTTCAAAGTCTGAACAAAATACGGCTAAAGTCGAATGACATTAAATAAATTGTAGTTTAAAATACGCTTTAATAGCAAATCGAACTAAAAAGTGGAAAATATCTTTTAAGTAGATATATGAGAGCTTGTGTTACTGCAATAGATAGACCAACAAACAAGTATGATCAATTAATTTGGAATACAATTCTTTCAATTTCAAAATTTATATTTTTTTTTCAAAATTCCAATATGTAGTTCTTTCAGAATGGTCAAATCTTCAAACTATTTTGCAAATTTTTGAGTTTTTCAATGATCCTCCAAATCCTATTTTTTCCCAAATTACATTTTTTTTCAAATTTTCAAATTCTAATATTTTTTCAAGATTCCCATATTTGTAATCCAAATTTCATTCCAAATTTCAAAATTACCAATTTTTTTCAAATTTCGAAATTTCTATTTTATTTCAAATTCAGAAATTCTAACTTAATTCTCAAAAATACCAATTTGTTTTAGAATTTCCAAATCTTCAAATTTTCGAATTTCAGTTTTTTAATTTTTAAATTTGTTTTTTTTCCAAGATTCCCAAATGTTTTCTCACTTTATAAATCCAAATATCTTTCCAAACTTGAAAATTACCAAAAATTTTTACAATTTAGAAATTTCATTTTTATTTCAAAAATACCACTTTATAGAATTTCCAAATTTTCAAACCAAACCAAATTTCAAATTCAACTTCTTCAAGATTCTTGAATTTGTTTTCCCATTTTTAAATTCCAATCTATTGCCAAGTTTCAAAAAATTTTAAAATTCCGAAATTACATTTTTTTTCAAAAATTCCAAACTTTTTTCAGGATTTCCTTCTGCAAATTATTCTGCAAATTATTTTTCTACATTTCAAAATTCTTTTTTTAAATTTTTAAATGATTCGAGTATTTTTTCAAGATTCTCAATTTTTTTTCCAATTTTCAAATCCAAATTTCGATAATTCAAAATTTTTTTCAATCATTCCAAATTTTGCTTAGAATTTCCAAATCTTCAAATTAGTTTGTAACTTTTTTCCAAATTTAAAATTCAATTTTTTCAGGATTCCCAATTTTTTTTCAATTTTTAATTCCAAATTTCTTTCCAAATTTTAAAATTACCAAATTTTATTTAAAATGTCTAAATTTTATTTAAATTTCGACATTTTAAATTTTTTTCAAAAATTCCAAATGTTTTTCATAATTTCGAAATCTTCAAATTACTTTGCAAATTCTGGACTTTTTCAATTATTCTAAATTTTTAAATCCAATTATTTACAAATTTCAGAATTCCATTTTTTTATATTTTTTCAGGATTCCCAATTTTTAAATCCAAATTTCTTTCCAAATTTCAAAATCAACATTTTGATAAATTTCGGTTATTCAAAAATTTCAAATTTTGTTCAGATTTCCAAATTGTTTTGCAAATTTTCGAGTTTTTCAATTATTCTCGAAAATTTCAAATCCAATTTTTTCCAAATTTCAAAATTCAATTTTTTTTAAATTTTCGTTCGAATATTTTTACAAGATTATTGTATTACCATTGACACTTGATCCCTGTGTACATTTTTAAGTTAATCAGACTTCTTGAAATTTGTGAAAATTATGTTGAAAGATTCCGTTATATACGAAGCGTGTTAAAGAATGTGTAAATTACTTATATCTGAGATATAGCTTGAAGGTTTCAGAGGGTACTCACCATCAAAAGACCTTTGTATACGTAGATGGAACCTACGAATATGGTTTGGTGTTCTGAAGCACAGTACTCGTTTTCTGGTATGATTATAATGTCTTCATTTGACGGATGAGGCTGGAAAAGTGGATAAACAATTAACACAGTTTTTCAATTGCTCCTTAAGAAATTTTGCTTTTATTTGATGAGGAGCCTTTGACGTTTAAGCAACATTTACGAACACATTTTCATACATTTGAAACGAAGTAAGATTCAATCTACATTTTTTAAATAATTGGAAATAATCGTCGAAAATTTGTATACCTACATATCTTTCCATCTGCTTTGTGTCTCTATAGAATGGATCAGCAACCTGCCAAGTAGTCATTATCACCAAGTCAATGAAAAGCAGAACTCCCACAACCATGAATAGTTGATAGTCCTTTATAACTTTTTTGTTCAGTTTTACATCGGTGAATATTGAGTGCACCCTCCAAGTTTTACTGAACATTGCACCAAATGCCAGTGAAAATCCTGCCATTAATGTCCAGGCTCTTGCAGTGCAGATGTATGGAAAAGCCTCTGTAAAATTAAGTTTTAATACTGTTTTGAGTGGAATGCGGCAAACGCTTAGCAAGAAGCACAATCCCGATACAACTACTTATGAATTTTGACTTGAAAGTATACTAAGTGACATATAAATCCGAACACCCAGTTTTAAATGGTTTTATTTTAATAAAAGTTGGTGAATGTATTTATCTTACTGTAAATAACGAGTGAAAAAATTTTCAGCCTTATCAGTTGGACATTCCGGTTTTTATACTGCTTTTTTTAATTCACTAACGCTTTAAAAATGAATATTTCAGCCGCAGTAAAGAATCAACGTTGGCGGATTTTGGTTCTTGACATCCTTTACGATCGGTTACGATGCCTAGAGTACGGAGACCTGTACGATTTCGTCAACTTAGTGAGTTTGATAGGGGCCGTATAGTGGGACTTCGGGAAGCTGGACTTTCTTTTCGGGCAATTGCAGTTAGAGTGCAAAGAAGTGTAGACACTGTGGTTAGGTGTTATCAGGCATGGCTTCGAAAAGGCCGTACGCAAAGAGCAAGGGGCACTGGACGCCGCCATAGAACAACAGACCGTGAAGTTCGCCGCCTAAGATTATTGGCCTTAAGGGACCGTTGCTCCACTACCAGGTCCATTGCAAATGAATGGTTTGCAGAACACGGAAGACCTATTGGCATGCGAAGTGTTTAATGAGAAGTTTTGGCTTGTTTTCATACCGGCCACACTGGGTCCTCCCTTTAACTCGAGAACACCGACGTAATCGCCTTGAGTAGTGCAGACAACGGCCACTCTGGGATCAGGAATGGAACAGTATTGTCTTTAGTGACGAGTCTCGATTTTGTTTAGGCATGCACGATGGTCGTGCCAGGGTTAGAAGGCGACGTGGTGAAAGGAGGAATCCACAGTTTTTTGTTGAAAGACATGTTCATCACACTGTTGGAGTTATGGTTTGGGGTGCTATAGCTTATGGTTCCAGGTCACCTTTAATCTTCATCAGAGGTAAACATGAACGCGCAGCGTTATATTCACGAAGTTCTAGAACCCCATCTTTTACTCTATCTTGACACCCTGGCAGATCCAACTTTCCAACAAGATAATGCCCGACCACATGTTGCAAGAGTCACAATAGACTTCTTTCAACATAATGATGTCACATTGTTACCATGGCCACCAAGATCTCCCGACTTATCCCCAATTGAGCACTTGTGGGATATGATGGGTACGAGATTGCTCAATTTGCAACGTCCTCCTCCTCTGATCTGCCAGGGTGTCAAGATAGGGTAAAAGATGGGGTTCTAGAACTTCGTGGATATAACGCTGCGCGTTCATGTTAGCTCTGATGAAGATTAAAGGTGACCTGGAACCATAAGCTATAGCACCCCAAACCATAACTCCAACAGTGTGATGAACAAGTCTTTCAACAAAAAACTGTGAATTCCTCCTTTCACCACGTCGCCTTCTAACCCTGGCACGACCATCGTGCATGCCTAAACAAAATCGAGACTCGTCACTAAAGACAATACTGTTCCATTCCTGATCCCAGAGTGACCGTTGTCTGCACCACTCAAGGCGATTACGTCGGTGTTCTAGAGTTAAAGGGAGGACCCAGTGTGGCCGGTATGAAAACAAGCCAAAACTTCTCATTCGTCGGTAAACACTTCGCATGCCAATAGGTCTTCCGTGTTCTGCAAACCATTCATTTGCAATGGACCTGGTAGTGGAGAAACGGTCCCTTAAGGCCAATAATCTTAGGCGGCGATCTTCTCAGTCTGTTGTTCTACGGCGGCGTCCAGTGCCGCTTGCTCTTTGCGTACGGCCTTCTCGAAGCCATGCCTGACAACACCTAACCACAGTGTCTACACTTCTTTGCACTCTAACTGCAATTGCCCGAAAAGAAAGTCCAGCTTCCCGAAGTCCCACTATACGGCGCCTATCAAACTCACTGAGTTGACGAAATCGTACAGGTCTCCGTACTCTTGGCATCGTAACCGATCGTAAAGGATGTCAAGAATTTTTTCACTTGTTATTTACAGTAAGATAAATACATTCACCAACTTTTATTAAAATAAAACAATTTAAACTGGGTGTTCGGATTTATATTTCACTTAGTATATATATATATATATATATATATACAGGGTGTCCGCAAAGTTGGGGTTTTCCTTTTCAGAAACAACTACCCTTGAAATAACAAAGGTAATGTGTAGTGAAACGAGGGCGACCAAGTAAAAAAAAAAGGAAAAAGTACTCACTCTCCAGTTGACGAGAAGGGCTAAGTACGTCTCTGCCCGAAATCATGCCGCTCCAACAGAAAATGAAATCAGCTGATGCGCTACCGAGCAGACGCACCATGCCAGCCCAAACATTCACCGAAAATGTTTGTTGAAAATGTGCCCGACGGACAGCGTGCGGATTTTCTACTGACCAAACATGAGTGTTGCGAAAGTAATTCACCCCATTACGCGTGAATGTAGATTCGTCTGTCACCAATATGCACTTCAAAAAGTCCGGATTATTGTCATGTTGATTCAACAACCACTCACAAAACCGCACTCTTGCTGAAAAATCGTCAGGTTGCAGGGCTTGTACACGTTGGAAGTGAAACGGATACAGCCTCTATTCACGCAGCGTTTGCCACACTTTAGTTTTTGATACTTGCACTTTTCTAGCCACGTCTCTAGTGCTTGTTGAGGGATTCTCGTCTACACGATTACCTCTACAGGCGTGACCGTAACCGTCGGTTGAAGGTTGCATACTGACCTGACACACTAACCCCGACCCAGTTCTGTCGTCAGGTTGAGCCAGTGACCTTGTACCAGTCGGTGATGTCGCGGCTACAGGACGGTATTCAGATATTTTTGATGTTGCAGAGCTCTTTATCTCGGTTCCCTTAAGACATTGGTGTATATGGTACTAAGAAAAATTACTTATGTTTTCAAGATCTACACGTCGTGTAAAGGAAAACCCCAACTTTGCGGACACCCTGTATATATATATATGTAGAAAACCCTAAATTTTCAAATTCTAAAATTGAATTTCAAAAATAGAATCACACAAAAATTTTGGGGCTAAAATAACCTGAGTCCGTCCATGTTACATACGCTTCCAAACAAAACTGTCTAAAATTGTTAATATTTTTAAATCCAGCATAAAAAACTAGGCTAGAATACCAAATTTTATGTTTTATCTCAACACGTTTCGGAAATATTAAGGAAAAACCATCTTTAGGGGAGCCCCTTTAAAAAACCCTTAGAGGACGTTTGTCGACCTACGTTTATATAAACTTTCCTTCCTATTTTAAGCTCTAGCAACCGCTGGTAGAATATTGCACACTTTTTTCATATAGTCATTGCCATTGACAACGACAAGTTTGGCAAAAAATACAATTAAATTGTTTATTGAGAATTGGCAAAACTCAAAGTCGGAGCCAAGACCGATCCTTGACGTTGACATTGTGGGATGAAGAGAATGACCCCTCAATTACGATAAATAGGAAGACAGTCACCCATCTGTAAAGGGCATCGACATGAGCCTGACCAGATGACTGGATGAGTTTACTCCATAGTTGCGTGACGTCAGCTAGGAGCTCCCCCGTGGATCGCTGGTGCCAGAAACCGTACTGCTTGTTGCTGATCAAGCCGTCACGTTCAGAAGCTCACGATTTATCCACCTCTCCATCCATAGAGTTTTTGGAAGCTGATAAATCAACATTTTTCGTCATATTTGACTGCTCGGTGCCGTCACAAAACACAGTTTGATATTATCGCCGATCGTCGTGTCAGTCTTATCATTCCTATCTTATTGGATCGTCTGTAATACTATACGTACCTATACTTGATAATCCTGAATCCAGCCCCAAAAAGATAATGCTTGTATACGTAAGCATACATCCAATGATGATCAGATTGTTGAGCTGTGGACTAGACATCTTTATGTACCTCTGATTCCTGTACTTGATGTTGAACGCCAAAAATACCGATGCCATAATGATACCGAGGACAGCTAGCGTTGCAAGGATTGCGTACACGGTTTTGTTCACCCTGGTGTGTTCTATGATCACTAGCGTCTGGTCCTTTGGGGGATGTCTGTGGAAGATACCATTGGAAAAAGATAAATACAAATCCGAATGAGATTATTAGTGATTAGAACCGTATCGGGATGCCTTTATGGTCTGCTTGGTTATCATAGTCCTTCCTATTCAGAAAGGCTGTATTTATAGATTTCTATAGTTCCCTGTCAGTGTCAGCGCTCGTCGATGGTGAGGTTATGCTTTCTTTTTCAATATCAACACATTTCAGGCTGATCAAGCAGATGATAGAAATCTAGTTTTATCAGCCTGAAATTTCTTAGAATTATTTTTTATCTTTTTTTTTATCATTTTTATTATTTATTTATTTACTAATAGACACCTAAGCTATAAGCTTGTGTGTGTCACACAATATACAAATTCAAGGCATGGCTAATGGTCATAAAGTATATTATGAGCAAATGTATATAAAAAAAAGAAATAAAAACATTAGATAGACACGAAATGACTGAGTTGAGTCCGGCTACAATCGATGAAAGCATGTCAAAGTTATTTAAGATGAACTTCTTAATTCTTTTTTTGAAACTATACTTCGAGAGGATTTTATATTCTAGGAGTAATTTATTATACAACCTAATACCATCAAACTTTATGCATTTTTGGCAAACGGATTTATTCACTCCGGTATAAGTGTAACTTATATTTATTTTAGTTCTTGTTTCATAAGCGTGGCTGGTTGGAACATTGTTTCTGGACTGAACAAATTTCGGAGTAGCAAAAATATACAGGGTGTTTCAGTTTATTGTTGCATAACTTTAAGATTCGATAGAACTTTTAAAATTAATGCATAAAGTCTACATAAACATGGGTCGAAAAATGCGTGGCTTCCGAAATACAGGGTGTTTAAATTTACTTTTTAAAATAGTTTTTTTTTAAATATTTTGAAACAATATTTGATGTATAACAGTGAAAATTGGAATACAAGGGTTTTTTGGTACGACAAAACGAACCACGGGCATAGTTTTACTGTAGCCACTAGAGGGCGCTCTCTACTGTACCTGTAGTGTATTAAAATGACCGAAAAAAATTTCTTAGTGCCATTTTTTGCTTTTTGAATCGAAAAAACTGATTCTTTGTACTTTTCTGCATAAAAAAGTTCTTTTGTGAGTTTTAGTTATGGTTAGCCGTTTTTGAGATATTTCGATTTTTAAGGTTCGATGCATTTTTAATTATTTATGGGAAAATAATATTTTTTTACATTTTCGATTTGGGCATTACAAGTAATTAAGATGATCGTTTAGATTATGTTTTTAAACACAGCAATAATTCCTAACTAGAAATAAACACAAAAAAACAGAATACTAATTTGTTTAATTTTCCAATATTATTTTTAACAAATTAAATTAATTATTTACAACTAAAATGCTATTGGATAGTTAGGACAAACATACAAAATCGAAAGTAGTTGCTCGAAATGTAAACCCAATTGTTCAATACACAATTCACATCTACGAATGATCGAACGTGGTATAGCATTATTCAAATAAGGCCTTATTTCATCACATACACTCCTGATTCTGTCTATTAGCATATCTCTTGTGGTTACGGGAGTCTGGTACACTTTTTCTTTTAGAAATCCCCACACAAAGAAATCTAATGGATTTAGGTCAGGGGATCGTGGTAGCCAGGCGACTGGTCCTCCACGGCCGATCCATCTTTCTGGATAATTTTCATCCAGCCAGTTTCTAACTATTCTCGAACAATGAGCTGGACAACCATCAAGCTGGAACCAGGCCAATCTTCTTAAATCTAACATAACATCATCCCACATATTTGCATGTTCAGCCTTTAAAAATTGCAGGCAAAAGGTAGGGTCCAAATAGTCGATTACACTAAATTCATGCTGAAAATTTCTTTCCCGAACTGCATGCGGATTTTCCTGCGACCAAATATGTTGATTATGAAAATTTACCACTCCACGTCTAATGAAGCATGACTCATCGGTCCATAAAACGTTACTTAAAAACTCCCTATTATTATCAGTTCTATCAAGAATCCACTGACAAAATGTGATTCTTCGTTCTCCGTCCGCTGGCTGTAGTCCTTGCACAGGTTGCAAATGGTAAGGACGTCTATGGTAATTTCTAAGAAAACGGTGAACATGGCTTGCTGAAATTCCCAAGGCACCAGAAACTCTCCTAACACTTGTGGTCGGATCTCTAACAAACTCACGCAGAATCATACGGGTGAATCTGCGCTGCCGAACATTTATGTTTTAACTCCTTTGGAGATTTCCAAAACCATTTTCAATCATTTGGCGATGCACTCTTACAAATAGTGAGCTGGTTGGATGTCGTCTGTTTGGAAATCTTCGTGCGTATTCTCTGGCTGCTTCTGCTGCGTCTCCATTTACAAAGCCATACACAAAATGAATATCCGCTAACTCTTGATTGTAGAATAAAAATGGCATTTTTATAAAACTTACAAAAAAAAAACAGGTAAAAGAAACTTCGTGCATTCACAATTGCAAAAAAACGTTTCAGGTTTCAACAGACAACAAAACTACCTGTCAATTAATTGACGTTTAACCTTATTCTGCTTTCAATTTCAAAAATATTTGCAGGCACAGCCTACTTCTAAAAATTATCGAGATACTGACTTTTTAACGTTATTTATCATAAATAATTAAAAATGCATCGAACCTTAAAAATCGAAATATCTCAAAAACGGATAACTATAACGAAAATTCACTAGAGAGCTTTTTTATGTTGAAAAGTGCGAAGAATCAGTTTTTTTATTCAAAAAGCAAAAATTTTCACTAAGAAAAATTTTTCGGTCATTTTAATACACTACAGGTACAGTAGAGAGCACCCTCTAGCGGCCATAGTAAAACTATGCCCATGGTTAGTTTTGTCGTACCAAAAAACCCTTGTATACCAATTTTCACTGTTATACATCGAATATTGTTCGAAATATTAAAAAAAAACTATTTTAAAAAGTAAATTTAAACACCCTGTATTTCGGAAACCACGCATTTTTCGACCCATGTTTATATAGACTTTATGCATTAATTTTAAAAGTTCTATCGAATCTTAAAGTTATGCAACAATAAACTGAATCACCCTGTATAAACCTCTAACATTCAAAATATCATTTTCAATGTAAACTAAACTGCAACTTGACCTAAATGGAATACGAAAAATAGTCCTGACAATATAATTTTGCGTGGTTTGTAATATTTTTAAAGTACTAGTGTGTGCGGCTTTCCATATACTTATCCCGTAAATTAGTAGAGACCCCACCTTGGGAAAAAACATTATTATACATTATGATGAGGAAGAGAGATGGAAATATATAAAAGTATGTAGGTGCGTGAAAGACACTCGATTGTAGGATCCTATCTGGCAGAGTCGGAGTGTGACGGACAACGGGGGTAAAGTAGAAGAGTGATAAAAGAGAGATGGCAGAACGGGCGCTGGCGCCTGCTGCTTAGACGGATGCGCTCAACAAATGCGATTTGTTTCTCCCATTCGCAGAGTTGCCGATACCAATATGTCATATTTCTAAGAAATCTCAGTCTACCCTTATTTCGGGAACAATAGGTGCGGATTCCACATAAGAGTATTCCAAAAATGAAAAAAGTTCAAACTATTAAAATTGTATTAATGTTCCATGGTTCAAATCATATTTTTCATGTTTGTATATTGTTGTATAAATGATTGTGTAATCCCTATTCTTGTTGCCAGTAGAGATACAACAGTATTGAGAGAAATCATGGACCGCTAGACAGGGCTACAACTACCATATGACTATCAAATAGTAGTGATAAACAGGGTTTGTTATAGCACAGTTGCCTGATGTGGCGAATTTGCGCCATAGGGGCGATTTGACAACTTTGAAGGACAACTATAACGGGTACTATGGTGCCCGGTATTCGGGAATCTGGCAATACCTGATGATTCCTAACGTTTATTACGCCAGATTGTTTGCTGACTTGCGCATTACAACATGACAATCAACGTGACTGAGCACCTGGTAACCCTGGTTTAAGGTGTTATATTTAAAGAGCTTGGGGCAGTTAGGTATCTAGGTCACATTTTTTAATGTATTTCGAGAAATCCGTAATGTTGAGTAAATACTAGATCACGTTTCTTGCTTAGTTTGCTGAAAATTCTACAATAGACGTACATTTTGAGAAACAGAGATTTGGTGACGACAAAATCGTAAAAATATAACGCATCTTCGTAAAATAATTTCTTTGTTGAAAAGACTGTGGCTTGATGACCCATTGAACGAGGATAGTGTCCCGCTCCGCTTTGAATATTCGAAACACTATACTCCAGCAGCATTCAGCTTCAATGATATCTTTATGAAGTTCTAACGTCTAGGCCATGCTGATTAAAAGCTTGAATGAATCAACACTTAACTCTAAATTCCCCACAATTCGGGAAGCTCTACTCAAATTGGCAACACAGCGTATCTGCCTATTACTCTCATTCGTGATACAGGTCTGCGGTCTGCTGCAAATTTCAGTATGCGTTGAGTCGACAGAAGAAGTTCAGTAGATGCGCGCATTACGCACCAGTTCGATTGGACGTCCTGTGAACCGATTTCGGTGATTTCGAGATTTCACGAAATCATCTAAATCACTCTACTTATTTTTATGAATGGATAATTGGTTTTGTAGCAATAAAGGTTGCGTCTCATGACAAAAATAAGAAGATACCCACTCTAACAAAAAATAGTACACTCTTAAAAATGTGTAACGAAAATAAAAAGATATTCTAACAAAAAAATAAGTTCTCAAAAATAAAACGCAATAATGAACACAAATGTTTCAAATGGTCCTTCACAGCTGGGGCTCAAAAACGTCTCCTTCATTCAATGAACAGTATGTCAGGCGGTTATAAAACTCCTGACGAACTCTCAAGAGGGTAGAAGGCTGTATTTGCCCGAGCGCTTTAACGATTTTCACCTGTAGGTTATGCAAATTGTCTGCTCTCTCATTGAAAGTGTAAACAGTACTTTTCACATAACCCCACAAGAAAAAATCATTGGGCGCTAGATCGGGTGATCTAGGAGGCCATTTTATTGTTCCGTTACCGCCAATAATCCGGTGGCCGAACACACTTTCAAGGTAAGTGTGTACGATCGCCGCATTATGCGCCGGGCATCCATCTTGTTGGAACCAAATATTAGCGAGATCAATGCCAATTGCAGGAACAATCTGCGTCTGTAGTAACGCCAAATATTTTGCAGCCGTAAGAGTTCCATCAATAAAGAACGGTCCGATAATGTTATTACCTAGAATTCCTGCCCACACATTCAGTTTCTGTGGATACTGCGTGCAGACGGAAATACTGAGGTGTTTATTTTCCCGAGACCAATACTGAACGACTGAAGGATTGTGATGACCGTGGAGAGGGAATGTGGATTCATCAGTAAACAAAATGTTACCAATAAAACTTCCATCCCTGTTCGCCTTCTCCATGACCGTTTCACAAAACTCCATTCGACGGTATTTGTCTAAAGGAAATATTTCTTGAACCGTTCCAACCTTGAAGCTATGATAGCCGTTGCGATGCAAAATATTTCTTGTTGTTCAGGGTGTGAGATCGGCTATTGGTACCATTTCAGCAATTTTTCTGCTTGAGCATGGCTCAGATACTTCTGCAGCGGCACAAACAGCAGTTTCGATCTCCTCCCTTTTCTCGCTAATTTTTGGTTTCCAACCTTCAGGGTGCATGCAGCTATGGCACTTATGTAAGCAGCCCACCCTCTTGAATTTTTCGTAGGTATTTATAACCGTTGCGTGAGACGGAATTGGCCGATCTGGGAAGCGTACCGCAAATAATTCAACAACCGCGCGTGCTGAATTATTCTGGATGTACCATTCTATCATTTGAAACTTTTCTTCTTGCGAGTACATTTTTAAGATATTTTGGATTAAATAAAGACGCACCTTTCCTACACAAAACCCAACCGCAGAGTGAGTCATGAATCCCTTATCGCACTTGACGACGGCACGCGCGTTAACGGTAGGAAATATGTACGAATAGCGATGAAAGTAGACGAGCCGATGCGCTGTTGCCAAGAAATGATTTCCCATGTATAACAATGGTTTTTCCTAAGGTATGTATATTGAGAAAAGACTACCAACGTGAATGGCACCTCTAATTTTCCCAATTGTAGGATTCCAGTCACCTTCCATAGCTTTCAGTAACTTTCTTTCCCAATCTAACAATTTAATTGCTTTATTACTAGTTTTTTAGATCTGTTTTTTTTCTTCAATCTTGATCTCATCTTGTTGAATTTTTTAATAAGCCTTTAGTATCTAATTGTATACCGAATGTTGATTCGTATTTTTTCAACATCTTCTGCAAGGCATCGTCCTTTCTCATTTTTATTTTTGGATCTTGTGACTTTTGCAAAATAATGGGAGCAATGCAATTTCATCTGCGATGAACTGCAGGTCGTTGCCATTATTTTCTATAGTTTCCTCATCACTTGAGGATGATATCGATGCATTTTTGCCAAAGTAACGTAAGTGACATTTTTGGTGAAAATCATGTTTTTCCATTAACGTAAGGCTTTTATTGTTGAGAAGGTACTGCCCAAGTGTAGGAAGCCTAGATTTTACTTTAAACCTTTGTTTTTAACTTTTTTTAACTTTAATACTATTTCCATCATAGTAATGCAAGCTAACGTTTTTTACCGTCATAATAATGTAAGTCCCGATCGGTTTCTGCGACGTACGTCAGATTTTCGCAGTCAGTGTTTGGCTTACGACAGTGTTAGGTTCGTGCTACCATCGACTAATTATTGATTTTAGGTAAGTAAATAATAACGACATTTTTTTATAGTTAGAATAAGAAGTATTTTCGAATTTTTTTTCTGTCAATATTTTTAATGCCATTAGCAATCAACAATCAGCATATCCTACTATTTTTTTAGACAGAAACTTGTAGTTAAGACAAATCATATTTTTCATTCAATATTACTTAGTACTAATATGGTTTTTGTTTTTTTTTAAACAAAGAAACGGTTGATTTTTCCAAAAGTTTGACACAGTACTCTTTTTTCTAAATAAAGTGAGCAATTATGATGAATCATTAAAATTATAAAAAATGCATTGGCGAAAGAATTAGGCTATTTTACTTTTCAACGTATTAAGTAACTACGCCACTGGTTAGATAATTAAGATTTTTTTCTTCTTATAATGGGTACCACCGAAATAAGAGAAACGACAAAGTTTAAAAATTTTCGAATGCATTTTGTCTGAATTATAAGAAAAAAACTGATTTTTAACGTATTTTCAACACAATGTATCTCGGAAATGAAACGTTTCCGGACCCATGTTTATCGCAAATTTTTCATCTACATATTTTTTAATGTTCTGTTTGTGGTTGAAGTTTTCAATACTAATTTAGTGACACCCTGTATAGGGAATTCCCGTGTTATTAGGACTTTATTAAATACAGAAAACTGTTAATGAACTACAAATATAAAACATGAATACATATTTGTAAGTTATCCTCAAGTATTTCTTTGTTTAAGGTCGAAAGCGGCAAGAAAAGGCAGTTTCTGAACCTGAAAAAATTTATAAACAACGGCTTCCAATATCCTCCTAAATGAGGAAAAGGGATTTGGAAAAACTTTGCAAAAACAATGCCATACCTGCCAGGTTTCACGATGAATTCTTTAAATTAAAATGTAAGTCTTCTCATCCAGATGAGTTAGCAGAAACTGAAGATGAAAGCTCCAAAACTTAAAAAAATATATATTTTTTACTAGTAATTATTTCATATTTTCTTTTGTAACGTTATTTTGTGTTTTTTTAAATAATAAACGATAGTTTTTAATTCTTTCCAAAATATTTTAAGTGCTACAATTTGCCGCCAAACTGACGTATCTGTGTACTTACGTTACATTTTTGATCAAGACTTTTGAACCCGTAAAGTAACGTAAGTATAAATTAACCACTAAAACTATAGAAAAACTTCAAAAATAATTTTTCCTAATTAAATATAGACCCCAGAGAAACACTCTGGTATATTTTTCACATCAAAAAAGTTTAACCAGGTTAAATTAAAAACACGTTTTTTTCCGAAATCGTTTTTGGTGACTTACGTTACTTTGGCAAATACGTATCGATATGCTCATTGATTTGATAAAGAAATGTATCCAGTAGAAATACGGAACGGTCTGTGTAAGCTCTGGAGTACAACTGTCAGTGATGCTGAGTAAACGTCAACTACAAGCTGCAACAAGCAGGACATGTCGTTCAAGATACAAATACCAGTCAACCTTTTACTTCTTCTTGTAGGATATCCTCGCGAGTATAAGGTAATCATTATGAATATGAAAACAAGGATATGCTTATACTTCTACCTTTTTCTCCGAAGCAAGACCTTATACTTTTACCTTAAGCTTCTGAGGTTATGCTTCTCTTTTATGAATACGGCTCAATGATTCTGTTGACGAACGACGCTAATTTTTCTCGAACAAACAATCATTTGTGGGCAGAAGAAAATCTCTATGCCGTAACCGAAACCCATTTCCAACATAAATTTTCGGTTAACGTTTGGGCAGGAATTATTGGCAACCACTTTATTGGCCCATTCTTCTTGCCGGGACGACTTGACGGACAGACTTACCTCAATTTTTTTCAATAACAGTTGCCTTTGCTGCTTAATGATGTTCCATTAGTAATAAGAAACAATATATGGTATATACATGATGGTGCACCAGCGCATTTCAGTGTAGCGGTTCGTAATTATTTACAAACTGTTTATCCAAATCGTTGGATTGGCCGCGGCGGGCCCCAAGAATGGCCACCAAGGTCCCCAGACCTCAACAGTTTAGATTTCTTTTTGTGGGGCTATCTTAAGACACTAGTGTACACAAGTCCCATTAACATTGTAGATGAATTAAGAGAAAGAATAGTTGCAGCTTGTGATAGAATAAAAAAAACTCCAGGGATATTTCAACGAGTGCGCAATTCCATGAGAAGGAGGGCGGCAGCATGCATACTAAGTGAAGGGTGCCTTTTTCAACAATCATTTCGTTGGTTTTAATGTTATGTTTATGTTGTCAGTTGTTGTTGTTCATTACCCTTAGTGTGTTTAATTTTTCCAATAAAATTAATAATAATTTTGCAAGTTAGACAATAGAACGGTTTTTATTTTTTTTACTCAAAAATGGCGCATCGAGGGAAAACAATTCAATAGACATCATTTGTTTTAAATTGAACGGGACATTCAAAAATAATCTTTATTTGGCAAAAAACCATTAGCGTTCTATTTTTTTTCTTAAAAAATATCGAAGTTAATCGTACGCACGCCACTGTTAAAGCTAAAAATTAATTTTGCACTAAAAAATATGCAACTTTATTAACTTTCACTACGTACTAAATATCAGTGAAATATCTGAAGCGGTTCTGAAAATATTAATTAATTTCAATTTTTTTCCTAAAACCTAAAACCCCGATTTTTTGTAAGGAAACATTTTTGGACCATAGTTTATAAAGCCAACTAACATTAATTCTTCATGTAGATTCACATCCTTAAATATTCGCATATCATTAAGGAACACCCTGTATAATGCAGGTGAATTCGCTCTCTATCACAATGTTCGAGATGTAAAGCACGACACAAATTATGTTGCATTAAGTTAGCAGAAATACGAACTAAAGCCAGCTCTGATGCTATCGTTTACTCACTTGCCAATCCATTTCAGAGGTGCCCCCAAAGTTAAATCCAGATGTTGTGTAGCAGCATTGTATTCACCCACTTTAATCTCCTTTCCATCCTGGAACTGTTTCAAGAGAATGCTAGCTTTTCGTTCGTTGTCGTAGAATCTAACCGGACCAGTCACGCCTAAAAATGTATATACAGGGTGTTTCAGTTTATTGTTGCATAACTTTAAGATTCGATAGAACTTTTAAGATTAATGCATAAAGTTTACATAAACATGGGTCGTAAAATGCGTGGCTTCCGAAATACAGGGTGTTCAAATTTACTTTCTAAAATAGTTTTTTTTAAATATTTCGAACAATATTTGATGTATAACAGTGAAAATTGGTATACAAGGGTTTTTTGGTACGACAAAACGAACCTTGGGCATAGTTTTACTGTAGCCGCTAGAGGGCGCTCTCTACTGTACCTGTAGTGTATTAAAATGACCGAAAATTTTTTCTTAGTGCAATTTTTTGCTTTTTGAATAAAAAAACTGATTCTTCGCACTTCTCTGCATAAAAAAGCTCTCCCGTGAGTTTTCGTTATAGTTAGCCGTTTCTGAGATATTTCGATTTTTAAGGTTCGATGCATTTTTAATTATTTATGGGAAAATAATATTTTTTTTTTACATTTTCGATTTGGGCATTACAAGTAATTAAGATGATCGTTTAGATTGTGTTTTTAAACACATCAATAATTCCTAACTCCAAATAAACACAAAAAACAGAATATTAATTTGTTTAATTTTCCAATATTATTTTTAACAAATTAAATTAATTATTTACAACTAAAATGCTATTGGATAGTTAGGACAAACATACAAAATCTAAAGTAGTTGCTCGAAATGTAAACCCAATTGTTCAATACACAATTCACATCTACGAATGATCGAACGTGGTATAGCATTATTCAAATAAGGCCTTATTTCATCACATGCATTCCTGATTCTGTCTATTAGCATATCTCTTGTGGTTACGGGAGTCTGGTACACTTTTTCTTTTAGAAATCCCCACACAAAGAAATCTAATGGATTTAGGTCAGGGGATCGTGGAGGCCAGGCGACTGGTCCTCCACTGCCGATCCATCTTGCTGGATAATTTTCGTCCAGCCAGTTTCTAACTATTCTCGAATAATGAGCTGGACAACCATCAAGCTGGAACCAGGCCAATCTTCTTAAATCTAACATAACATCATCCCACATATTTGCATGTTCCGCCTTTAAAAATTCCAAGAAGGTCGCAGCATTTAACCTTGCAGGCAAAAGGTAGGGTCGATTACGGTAGATACCAATCCACACGTTCACACTAAATTCATGCTGAAAATTTCTTTACCCGAACTGCATGCGGATTTTCATGCGACCAAATATGTTGTTTATGAAAATTTACCACTCCACGTCTAATGAAGCATGACTCATCGGTGCATAAAACTTTAGTTAAAAACTCCCTATTATTATCAGTTCTATCAAGAATCCACTGACAAAATGTGATTCTTCGTTCTCCGTCCCCTGGCTGTAGTCCTTGTACAGGTTGCAAATGGTAAGGACATCTATGGTCATTTCTAAGAACACGGTGAACATGGCTTGCTGAAATTCCCAAGGCACCAGAAACTCTCCTAGCACTTGTGTTCGGATCTCTATCAAACTCACGCAGAATCATACGGGTAAATCTGGGCTGACGAACATTTATGTTTTGATCCCTTTGGAGATTTCCAAAACCATTTTCAATTATTTGGCGATGCACTCTTACAAATACAGTGCGAGTTGGATGTCGTCTGTTTGGAAATCTTAGTGCGTATTCTCTGGCTGCTTCTGCTGCGTTTCCATTTACAAAGCCATACACAAAATTAATATCCGCTAACTCTTGATTGGAGAATAAAAATGGCGTTTTTATAAAACAGGTAAAAGAAACTAAATTTCGTCTACAGTAAAACTATGACCATGGTTCGTTTTGTCGTACCAAAAAACACTTGTATACCAATTTTCACTGTTATACATCAAATATTGTTCGAAATATTTAAAAAAAACTATTTTAGAAAGTAAATTTAAACACCCTGTATTTCGGAAGCCACGCATTTTTCGACCCATGTTTACATAGACTTTATGCATTAATTTTAAAAGTTCTATCGAATCTTAAAGTTATGCAACAATAAACTGAAACACCCTGTATAAGAAATATCAGAATAGTACAGGGCTTCAGATTTTTGGGAATGAAAAAATAGCGTCAAGTATATTGACTCTATACTTGCTACGCCTTCGAGGTAGCTTTCTAAGAAAAGGGATGAGTCAGATCTGTTCAAAAGGCGAAATCGAATCGTGGTTAGGTACGTTTACTTAGATACGACGAATCTTGGACACCTGTATATCAAACTATACAGGGAGTTGTAAATTCGACCTTTACTCAAATGGACGCAAAGTTGTGTATTTAGGTAATCAACAAAATGCCGCTAAGAAATTTTCGAGATTCAAAGTACTTCCGGAAAGAGACGGTAAAAACCGATTTTTCCCGGAAATGGCATAACTAGAATTCCAGTATGACGTTTCGTCTCTTGTCCTACAGCATCAACTTTATTTTTTCGTATGGACGCCACATTAGATTTTTTCGCCGATGAATACTGTTTTTGAAAATGTATAATCAGTCATCTTTTGATATTACCAACACTTAGTTATTCCAGAAAACCGGAAATTCCTAGGTAGGCCTTGAAATTAACAGATTTCATTTGTTTCGTATACCAGACCTGACCACAAATTGAACATAGAAACAGAGTTTGGAATTGACTGAAAAGAAGAGAAATAAGTCGAGCAGTGAACTATGCACAGAGAAAAGTCAGGCTTTGTCTACAGAATGACGTACATTTTGAACCTCTTGCTTATTTATGATTATCATTGTTATTACCATCAATACGATTTTCATGTTGTGTTAGAGGTTTCACAATACCTCTTTATTTTCATCCAACAACATATTCATGACGGACCAATATTACGTTCATATGAAAAAACAAAGTAGGTGATGGAAGTAAAAAGAAAAAATGTCCAATTGAAAATTTGACTACGCCATCTTGTAGAGGAGAATAAGTAACGTGGATAACATGCATTTTATTTTGAAATCCCACCTCAAATCAGATCGGAAACAATTGAAAGTGATTTTGGAATAAATCTGAAATGCGAAACAAATGACTATCTGATAATTTCAAGGCCTTCCTAGAAAATTCAGCTTTCTTGGAATAACTAACGAATGGCAATGTCAATGTATGACATATTATACATTCTTGGAATGAGCATGAAAAACTCTCATCTGTGCAAAAAACCAAGGACAAGAGACAAAACGTCATATTGAAATTCTAATTTATCCATCTTAGATGAGAAAACGTGGCAATGTCAATGTGCAAGTTATTTTGAAATCCCATAACACATAAATTAAGGGAAAAATCAAAATGATTTTGGATAAATTCTGTTTTTTCCGTCTCTCACCAGAAGTACTTTGAATTTCGAAACTTTCTAAACGCCATTTTGTTAACGATGAATTTGTAAACACCCTGTATACATTAAATATATCATACTTCTGTTACCATGCAGGTGTATGGAAAATATGTGTACCTATGCGAAGTTATTTGGAATTATAAGCACATCAGACATCTGTTTTTTATCATCTAATGTCTTCGTTCTTACCGGGATCAGACTCTTCTTAATGATAGAACATGTTTGGCTAACACTAAAGTCGTTACATTTACAAACCCCCTATACCCTACCACCCCCAACCCACGGTCTCAACCCCTACAAAAAATTTTCCTCTGAAACATCAAAATACGAAACTTGAGCGATGTTTACTTTTTTTCGTGTATTTGTCCTTAGCTGCTCCACCGCTAGACTGATTTTAAAAAACTACAAAGCTAGTAACTTTGCATGGACATTTCCTCGAAATTTGAGCAGTACTTCCCAAGTATTAGGCGGTTATAAAACCCGACGAAAATGAGTGACATGATTTTTCGTGATGAACATGTCATATAACACCCAAACAACATACTATCTCAGTTTCGAAATTTTTGACGATTACAATACTTCCTCGCCAGTTTTGATGTAGGTAGTAAAATTCACTGAAAAATCTGGAAATCATCATTTTTGCTTTCCGATCATCCGAGTTTCAGAAAAAAAATGTTTTGTATTTATTTATGCATTATTTCTTTTAGTTGACTTGGTTATCAACCGCAAAACCAAAATATATTGAATATAATAATAATGATTAATAATAATAATTAATGTCTTTTATTTGTAATATTCTTACAGGAGGTGAGATTTAGATAATATACCTATTCTACCATTTTACCCGCTTAACAATACGAGATGTAAAAAAAAACAGAATTTGTTACCTGTATACAATAACGGCAGAATAAAGTATAATCTAAGTAAACGCATAAAGAAAATATGAGGCCACTTATGGGTCAGAACAGATTTGGCTGCTGATAAAGTAGGACTTCTTTCACTTTTTTTTGAATTTGGGTAATGGATTGGTTTCTTTTAAACTGCGGTCTAAAGAATTATATGATTTGATCGCATTGTAAATATATGTATTCTGAAATAGAGATGTGCTGTGGCGTGGAATTGAAAAAATCTCTCTATATCTAATATTAATGCCATGCATATTGCCTCTACGTATGAATTTGTTTACTAAATATGACGGTGTTTTTGAATAAAGAACCTTATGAGTCAGATTTAGGAGCTGGTACTTATACATTTTATCAATTTTCATCCATTTGAGTTCATTAATGGCATTGGATATATGATCATACTTTCTGCGACCAAGTCTGCAACATGTATTCATAGTACTTTGAATACGATTTCTTGTTATAATATCTAAACAGTGGTAGTAAACCACTAAGCAATACGATATCCTTGAAAACAAGAAAGATTCACACAATTACTTTCTCGCAGATTTATGTAATATAGCCTTATTTACAAATAAAACTGAGAATAGCGTAGCGCTGAGAAATTAGATAGTTACGTGTTCAAACGAAGATTATGACTACTACCGAACTTATCAATTCGGGAAAGATCTTGATTAATTTTATTATTTGCTGTTTCCAAATCATTACTCCTAAATGCATAGAATAGTTGAGTCTCGTCTGCAAAAAATTGTATGCTGCATGATTTTACCTCTGTTTCTAAATCTGACATATATAATGAAAATAATAAGGGTCCTAAGACTGATCCCTGTGGTACATCAGAACAAATTTTTTGTTCGGTAGAGTACTGTTGATTTAGACGAACTTTTTGATACCGATTTTCAAGGTAGGTTTGAATAAACGAAAGAGGTTTTTCAGAAAATCCATAATAACTGCATTTAGACACAAGAAGTGAGTGATTAATGGTGTCAAATGCTTTAGAAGTATGAGAGTTACTGCTTTTTGGTTATCAAGTGCCATTGTTATATTGTCTGTTAAATCACAGAGTGCCGAAGCTGTATTATGACCATGTCGAAATCCAGATTGTTTAGATGGAATAATTTTGTTTGAATATAAGTAGGCGCAGAGCTGCTCGTAAACAACGCGTTCCAATATACAGGGTGACTTTGAAGTTGAGTCATTAATTTTCAGATAATGATTGTAGAAGGAAGGTAAACCAAAATATGTGTGTAAAAATAAAAAAAAAAATGTTACCTTGTTTTATAAAGTATCCTTCCGGCAAGTATTTCAGTGCGGACCTGTATTTGATCGTGCGGTCTTGGAGCACCGACATGCCCTCCCCTGTGAGGTCTTAAGTCACCTGATTCACGAGCCCTTTGTACTACATTCAGCATTTTCGTAAACATGTGCCATTTTTTAATTTGGTTTGAGCCACGCAACAAACACCACTATTCACTCACGCGTTACCGACTGACACATCGACTGAATACAACTGAATAAAATTGTACGTTGTAGTAAAAACATCGTTTCGAATTCTTTCGCTTTTTAGTTTCCGATGCGATGAACGGATAAGGCGGATTATATCCGTTGTTGCCAAACACGAGCACATAATATTATTATTGAGACAGGGCGGTACTCAAACTTCTAAAGGGCTATAACTTTGTTACTTTAATTTTACCAGAAAAACCTGTCGGTTAGCCGCTCAACTAGTCAAAGAGTGAGATAAATGATACTGCTCCACTATGTACGAGGGAGACAAAAGTTTTTACCTGAGTTACGTTGTACGTGTAAATTACACAACAGAAACAAAAATTCATTGTTATTATCCGACCAAAAAAATTTGGCCCTGTACACAAAATTTGCAAATTCAAGAAATTATTTCAACTTTTTTGTGACTTGTGGCATACCGTTAGAATCGGGATAGAGTAGTTTTTAAAAGAATTCTAAGAAAGTAGATTTGTTGACTACTGATAACTATGATATTATGGGTATCTCCGAAACATGGATTAATAATGATTTTACAGCAGATATAGTAAATATTCCTGAGTACACTTTTTTCCATACTGATCGAGTAGGACGTGGAGGAGGAGTTGGTGTTTATTTAAGGGATTCACTGAGAGGTAAGCTGGTATTGCAAGATTTTGTATGTCCAGATGGTATGGAGCAGGTTTGTGCTGAAATAGTGTTGAATAATCTAAAAATTTTGGTTTGTGTTATCTACAGAGCTCCTTCGAGCAGATTACCAAGTTTTATTGACCTTATAGACAACTTTCTCTCATTTGTGTCTCCTCAGTATGATAATATATGCTTGCTGGGTGATATAAACGTTGATCAACTTACTGACCATTCTTTTCTAGATTGCATTACGTGCTACGATATGGTATCTCACATCACCCAACCAACTAGGATAACTTTAACCACGGCAACCTCCATAGATGTCATTTGTACAACAAATAACTTAGCTGAATCATTAATTTCAACTAGCTCTGCACCTGTTCCGAATTTGTCAGATCATAATGTAGTCAGATGTGACTTCAACATCACACGACCTAAGAATTTTCAAAAGTCTGTCAAATATAGAGACTTTAAACATTGTTGTAAAGATCAGTTTTTGGTGGATTTGTATAAAATCCCATGGGATGATATATATTACATCAGTAACTTAGAGGATAAAGCTACATTTTTTCTAATCATATTTTGGATTTGTTTGATGTCCATGCTCCTGTTGTTTCAGCACGTATTACTAAACCTTATGCTCCATGGCTCACAGGTGGCATAAAATTTTTGATCTTTGAGAGAGATAAAGCCTTCAGAAAGTATCAGATTTTAAAAAGTCTAGCTAGTCTCGAATATTACCAGAAATTAAGAAATGATGTCATTTCCGCTATTAGGCGGGAGAAAGCAGCATATCTAAGCTTCAATGAACAACTAAATAGTAACAAGCATCTCTGGAAAGCTGTACATTCATTGAAACTCAAAACTAATGTAGATAGATCTTTACCTACGCAGTTGAAAAATGCCGATGAAGTAAACAATTATTTTTCTTCCGTTTTCACACCTTCGGGCAATTGCAAGGATCTAGTTGATAAATTTAATAGTACCAAAATTAATGAAAGTGCTAGATTTGAATTTAGTTTTGCTACCCCACAAAATGTGCTAGACTTTATTCTGTCCCTAAAATCTAATGCAGCAGGTTCGGATGGTATAACAGTCTCAATGCTTAAGCATTGCTTGCCTCGAGTACTACTACCATTGACGCATTTATTGAACTGTTGCCTGGAGGCTGGGTATTTCCCTGATGCTTGGAAACTATCTCTTGTCAAGCCCTTGCCTAAATGTAAAAATCCAAAATGTCTCTCAGACTTAAGACCTATAACTTTGATTCCTGTTATATCGAAGATATTGGAGAAATTGATTAAACATCAGGTTTATCATTATTTCTCTAATAATGATTTCTTTCCCAAGTGTCAATCTGGTTTCCGCAGTGGTTTTAGTACAACTACAGCTTTAGCAAGGGTTTTAGATGACATCATTGATTCGCTTGATAAGGGAGATGCTTCAGCACTTGTATCATTAGATTATTCTAAGGCGTTCGATAAAATAGATCATGAGCTTTTATGTGCTAAATTGAAGTTTTTTGGTTTTTCAGACATACCTCTAATGTTTTTTATAACATATCTTTCAAATCGTAAACAAGTAGTAGAGATAGACAACACTATATCTAGTCCGATTGATATAACATCAGGTGTCCCTCAGGGTTCAGTTTTAGGGCCCTTGTTGTACTTAATTTATACTATAGACTTGGGTAGCTCTGTGAAAAACTCTTCTTGCCGATGATACACAGATATATAAGAGCTTTAATAGTAACACTTTACATACTTCAATCAATGAGCTTAATGATGATTTGGAGGCAATAGTAGGATACTCAAATGGTAACAATCTTAAGCTCAATAAGGATAAGTGCTCAGTGATGCTTTTTTGTCCTGCTGTCAAACGTAACACTATATTGAATTCTCTTGATTTAAAAATCGACAAGGAGCGTCTAGCTGTCGTAAATACTACAAAAAATTTAGGGTTGATTATTGATTATACTTTACGGTTTAAGGAGCATGTTTCGTCTATCTTAAAAAAATGTTATGCAACTTTGAAGTGTTTTTATGTCAATCGCTCTATTTTGAATTTTAAAGTTAGAAAAAAGTTATGTGAGGCTATTATATTTCCAAGCTTATTTTACTGTAGCACTATGTTCTATCATTGTCTTGATTCTATCACAAAAGCAAGACTCCAAAAACTCCAAAATACTTGTTGTCGGTTTGTATTTAATCACAAGAAGTATGATCATGTTTCCTTAAAGAGATTTCAGCTTGGTTGGATGTGTATAGAAAATGCTTGCAAGTACCATATAGCAGTGTTTACACATAAGATCATATCTTCTCGATCCCCCTTGTTTCTTTACGAGAAATTTGTTTTCAGACGAAATAATTCAGACATTGATGTCAGACACAAAAAAAGACTAGAGATCCCTATGTATAAAACAACTTTATTTCGTAGTTCATACACTTACAATGCTATCCTGATTTATAACGAATTAGATGACAATATAAAGGATTGGCCAGTAAACAGATTTCGTAAACATGTGAAACAGATTTATTTGTCATTGTAGTAATTGTGGAAAAGTTAGTTTTTAATTCTTATATTTCATTTTATTTTTACGTAATATATGTGTGTATATATTATGTATGTCAGGAAGCTATCAAGCTCATTGTTTTCAAGCGTCTTTTGCTGCTTGTCAAAGTTTCCTTTGATTAAGTATTTCAATTTATTATTTGGGTAGGTTAAGTAGAGTAGCCAAGAGCTAGACTTCGCCTACGTAGAGGTCACATTATGTTGTAGTTTATATAATGTGCCTAATAAAGACATTTTATTATTATTATTATTATTATTATTATTATTATTATTATTACTGTTTTAGTTTTATTTTACAGAAATTCAAAATTGAGACATACATTTTTTTGTTCTTCTTTGTAACCCTTTGTGAGTTTATAAATAAAAAACTACATGCTGCTGGCAAGTAATGTTGATTTTGTAAGATTGGTACAACCTCACCCATTAAGACAAATTAATCATTAGGTGGACATACTGTTTATTTTTTTTATTTCACTGTGTGTATTACATTTTGAAGTTTTTACTAAAAAATTAAAAAATCTACATAATTAATGCCGTTTGGCAAAAACTTTTTGAGGGACCTGGGGTGATAGAAAAAGACCTCCCCTGTCCGCCATTTCAATTTGACAAACGATGCACCAAACACCCTGTATAATACATACCCTCAAAGCTGGTGTTGTGTAAAGCGTCAAGGAACAATCGCTCCCAAAGTGGATCCCTATATCTGAAATCAGCTACAGATTCGTTTCTCCTATAATATTTGATCCTCCTTGCAACACTCTGTATAGCTAACGCTACAGCCCAAATTCCATCGTAGGTGTATCCATGGAATCGTGAGTATTCGCCACCTCTACGCGAGTCGTATTCTAATTTATACTCGTTTGCCGTCTGAAATAAAAAAGGGCAATCTGAAGCTTGCCAGTAGAAGTCAAAACAAAGCTTTTGGTGTGGCTTGAGTTACGAATATTTTTGTCTAAATTTTTACCATTTTGCTATATAAACAAGATCAAGAACGAACAATTTCAGAGTTTATAAAATATACGTAAAGATTTTAACATCTAGAATGGAAATAATAAGAACGACATCGATTCGGAATCTTTTAACAGCCATCAAAAGTACGAGGTCTGTGAATTAAGTACGAGCCTGGCAACGCAGCCTTCGATCTGGCAACACTGGAGGCGCCGGGCTTCGATTTGTTTTGTGAAACATTTTGATCTATTGTGTTCTAAAAATGAGTGACATCAATTTCGAGCAATGACGTACTTCAGACTGGGGCATAGTGTAATGGAGATAGTGTTTTGTCAAGAGCCCAGGTTTTTCGGTGGTTTAAGGCATTTTCAGAAGGGAAGATCTTGTGCATTCTGATTGTCGGTTGTCAGAATGGTCGGAGAAGAATTAAATTTGCTCCCTGTCACACAACGATGTCACTAAACGAGTTTTTGGCCAGTGAAAGCATTCCTGTGGCTCCTCAGACTCCCCATTCGCCTGACTTGAGTCCGTGTGGCTCTTTTTACTTTCCGAAATTGAAAAATCACCTCGAGGGAACTCGTTTTGGAACAGCCGAAAACGTTCAAATGTAAGGAGTGGACGAACCATTTAAAGCGCTGTGTGGCTTCAGAAGGAAATCGTTTCAAGGGTAACAATATAAATTGTAATTATATTCGGATAAAAAAAACAGTCTCATGAGTTAATTTACAGACCTCGTATGAATAATTTATATCTTGAATATCTGATGTATACTAAGTGACATATAAATCCGAACACCCAGTTTAAATGGTTTTATTTTAATAAAAGTTGGTGAATGTATTTATCTTACTGTAAATAACAAGTGAAAAAATGTTCAGCCTTATCAGTTGGACATTCCGGTTTTTATACTGCTTTTTTTTTAATTCACTAACGCTCTAAAAGTGAATATTCCAGCCGCAGTAAAGGATCAACGTTGGCGGATTTTGGTTCTTGACATCCTTTACGATCGGTTACGATGCCTAGAGTACGGAGACCTGTACGATTTCGTCAACTTAGTGAGTTTGATAGGGGCCGTATAGTGGGACTTCGGGAAGCTGGACTTTCTTTTCGGGCAATTGCAGTTAGAGTGCAAAGAAGTGTAGACACTGTGGTTAGGTGTTGTCAGGCATGGCTTCGAGAAGGCCGTACGCAAAGAGCAAGGGGCACTGGACGCCGCCGTAGAAGAACAGACCGTGAAGATCGCCGCCTAAGATTATTGGCCTTAAGGGACCGTTTCTCCACTACCAGGTCCATTGCAAATGAATGGTTTGCAGAACACGGAAGACCTATTGGCATGCGAAGTGTTTACCGACGAATGAGAAGTTTTGGCTTGTTTTCATACCGGCCACACTGGGTCCTCCCTTTAACTCGAGAACACCGACGTAATCGCCTTGAGTGGTGCAGACAACGGTCACTCTGGGTTGAGGAATGGTACAGCATTGTCTTTAGTGACGAGTCTCGATTTTGTTTAGGCATGCACGATGGTCGTGCCAGGGTTAGAAGGCGACGTGGTGAAAGGAGGAATCCACAGTTTTTTGTTGAAAGACATGTTCATCACACTGTTGGAGTTATGGTTTGGGGTGCTATAGCTTATGGTTCCAGGTCACCTTTAATCTTCATCAGAGGTAACATGAACGCTCAGCGTTATATCCACGAAGTTCTAGAACCCCATCTTTTACCCTATCTTGACACCCTGGCAGATCCAACTTTCCAACAAGATAATGCCCGATCACATGTTGCAAGAGTCACAATAGACTTCTTTCAACATAATGATGTCACATTGTTACCATGGCCACCAAGATCTCCCGACTTATCCCCAATTGAGCACGTGTGGGATATGATGGGTAGGAGATTGCTCAATTTGCAACGTCCTCCTCAGACTCTAGAAGCACTTCGAGAGGAGTTGGTGGTTGCCTGGAATGAGATACCACAGGAGGACATTGACCACCTGATCAGAAGCATGCCTAGGCGCGTTGGAGAATGCGTAGCACATCAGGGTGCATCCACACATTATTAAAGGTCAAAGGGCTTTAAAGCAGTGCAATCATTTTGAAATTTTTATCATTTACTTATTATGCTTCATTAAGTACTTATACAAAATTTTATTAAAATAAAACCATTTAAACTGGGTGTTCGGATTTATATGTCACTTAGTATATATACTAAAAACAGGATCGGACCTAAAATTGAGCCTTGTGGAACCCCTGATTTGGTATTGGATACTGAAGAAACCATATTGTTTATTGAAACTTGTTGCTTACGATCCTGCAAGTAAGATTTGAAGAATTTAACCGAATCGATATCATTTTTAAAAGTTCTGTTATAGATGAGCTACATATTTTCGCAATTGATGACAAAATGAAAGGCTATCGAAAGCAATGCAAGAGATGGAAAATGGACGTATTCCTAACAAGGCTCTTAATATGAGTCAAGATCTCGGTTTAATATAATAAGTTGATAATGAAATTTATTATGATGTTTGATTGCATGCACGAATTTGTTTCTCGATTTCAGAATTATAGCTTCTTCGCTCCCCGTAAGATCCATGCCCATGTTTTATAAGATCCTTTCGTGTTGCTTTTGGGTGTACTTTCTTGGAAGCGTTGCCACGGTTTTCTGGTATTTACGTCTAGACAGAATTAAAGATCTTATGAGCACTTACTATTCCTGCTATAGTGATTTCAATGCTGGTCGATAGAGGTAACAAATCCGTTATGAGGGCCTGTTCTAAGGCTGATTCCAGTTCTTCTAAAGTGCAGTTGAAATCCGTATCGTATTTTTTCCACCAATCATGACTGTAAGTACCGACAATGACCCACTGGTACTTTTTTCCGTACATTTTTAATTTGTAGGCCTCGCAGAATATTTCTCTGGCCCATCTTTCGTTGAAATTCCCTGAAATTTAATATAGTGAGAAAAGATTGAATAGGGTTATTGAACAATTCCAGGTAATCAAAATAAGCAAAAATTATATTTATAGGTACTGGAAATAATTTTTTATCGTTTATATTCAAAATATTGCTGCTTGTCTTGAATACTACGATTTCCTATTTTAAGTAACATTTTTTTTCTATTTTGCGACTTGTAATATTTTTTATGATTTTTTTTTACCTAGGATTATACGAGTATCTTCTCTTTTAATTTCGTCAGAGCTGTTGTTACTTCGTTGGTGAAGCTCTGAGATTCGAGTACTTGGTATCCCATCGTGTCCAGCTCAGCTACCAACCTAGAATAGAAATACTGCCAACATTTCCGAAATATACGTATTAAAAAATTGAAAATTTATTTTATTTGTTGCTCCCAAGGCCGACGTCAAGTCGGAAACGGGGGACAGGTCAAGTCATAATAGTTATCAGAAAAATATTAAAAATCTGAGTCGTGTATCAAATTATAGGCTGTAAAGAAAATCGAAAAAAACTACACCCTGTCCTAACAGCAAGACAGATAGTCGACACCTTTAAACCACCATAAAAATTAGTCATATTCAGGAAATGTAATTGCTGTAGCGTGAACAGATGTAGTGTCCATTTTACGCAAATATCTGGTGTCATAAATTTCATAAGCATTGCCATTCCCAATAACATTCGAATCCTACGTCTATTGTATGTGTACATAATGTACATAATGTACATTAATGATATGCGAATATTTAAGGGTGTCAATCTACATAAAAATTAATGTTAGTTTGTTTTATAAAGTATGTTCCAAAAATGTTTCCTTACAAAAACTCGGGGTGTTGAAATTTTAGGAAAAAAAATGGAAATTAATTAATATTTTCAGAACCGCTTCAGATATTTCACTGATATTTGGCACGCGTAGTGAAAGTTAATAAAGTTTGCAACTTTCCCTACGGTACTGAATATCAGTGAAATATCTGAAGCGGTTCTGAAAATAATAAATAATTTCCATTTTTTTTCCTAAAACTTCTACACCCCGAGTTTTTGGACCATAGTTTATGAAGCAAACTAACATTAATTTTTCATGTAAATTCACACCCGTAAATATTCGCATATCATTAAGGAAGACCCTGTATACAGGGTGACTTGTAATGTCACGTATTCCTGTTAAGGGGTGATAGATTAGGTAAAAAGCAACCGATTTTGTCCTATCATGTCTTATCTAAAAGTTAACCATTTTTGAGTTATTTGAATTTTAAGTTTTTTATTTTTTATTCCGATTTCAGACGGTTAAAATTGAAATACAAAAATACTGCATGCTTGATTTTGAGTTTTTGTTATCGTCGCATAGCTGACATTCCAATAGTTCATTATAAGTAATAAAATGTTGAAAAGCTACAAACGTTTTAAAATTACGCTTTTTAAATGTATCATTTTCTTTTTTTTTTACTAACTTATTCGATAAAAAATGCAATTTTCTGTAAAAAATCTTCTAGTAATGAAATGTGCAAATTATGCAAATACTATCTCTATCTAACAAGCTTTCATTTGAGGTATTAAGCGTTCAATTATCTGAAGTACATGGAGAGAAACAACAATGACACCCACAATGGCTGGATTTTTAAGGAATTTGTATTACCTATTTGAACAAGTCGTTACTGTCCTCAAAGGACTCGCATGCCATGATTGTTTTATGGCATCGGCTCAACGAGGAAGCGAGCGAGAAGAGCTGACTTAGTGGAGGAGTGAGTGAGAGAGAGCGAGCTGTTACACTGATCAACAGCCAAAAAATATCCTAAATAAAATCAACAAAATATTACTATTTTTAATGTGCTAAAACCGGAATGAAACTTATTTTTTCAATATTAGGTCAAGTTTTAGAGATACGGTAATTATATGTGTTCCTGCTGTGACTGTGTTAATATACTGTAATTCACAAGAATGCACGTGCTACATTTTTATATTCGGCAAGGAAAGATGATGTAATCGGCATGATTGTGTTACGTTATACATACGTGTACATTATATTGTTTTATATTAGCCATTTTTTCCTCAGTTGGCTGACAGCGTTCATGCAAGATGTCTCGAAAGTGTGTAAACAATCCAGATCAGTTTTGTTACGTGTGTGGTGATGTGACTTTTGCGTCTCAGAGACGGTCTATTACTCCACTAATAACAAAGGCATATCAGCTTTATTTCGGTTGTAAACTAGGTGATCAAGACAAACAGTGGGCACCCCACATCTGCTGTAATACATGTGCTTCAAGTCTCAGGAGCTGGTTAAATGGCAAAAAACGGTCTATGCGCTTTGCTGTCCCAATGGTTTGGAGAGAGCCTACAAATCATATTAATGATTGCTACTTTTGCATGTTACCTTGTGTTGGACAAGCTACAGGTATGTCCAAGAAAAAAAAATCGGTTATTAACTACCCAAACATACCATCTGCGATGAGACCTGTGCCTCACAGTGACGAAAATCCTATTCCAAAACCCCCAGAATCCTACACTTACGAATCAGAAAACGAATCAGATCATGGCGATCGAGTGATTCGTCAGGAAGAAGATATGCCATCAACGTCAAGAGATCCTGATTTTATACCGAGCACGTCATGCCACCAACCGCACAAAATAACACAGTCAGAATTAAATGATCTTGTAAGAGATTTAGAACTTCCAAAATGTAAGGCAGAGTTACTTGGATCAAGACTGCAGCAGTGGAACTTGTTAGAAGACGATGTTTCGGTATGTGTTTTTCGTAAACGCCACAAAGACTTAGAACCATTTTTCAATATGGAGAATAACTTGGTTTTCTGCAGTAACATTAACGGCTTACTGGCGGCTTTAAATATAAACTATAACCCAGAAGAATGGAGATTATTTATAGACAGTTCAACATTGAGTTTAAAGGCAGTGTTATTGCATATTGGAAATATTTTACCATCTCTTCCTGTAGGGTATGCAGTTCACATGAAATAATCATATGACAGTATGAAGTACCTATTGACATGCATAAAATACGATGAGCACCAATGGCATATTTGTGGCGATTTGAAAGTTGTTGCACTTTTACTTGGGCTGCAGCTAGGCTACACAAAGTTTTGCTGTTTTTTGTGTGAATGGGACAGTCGGGCAAAGGCACTTCATTACACCAGACAAAACTGGCCTGTTCGTCAATTCCTAGAGCCAGGTCAAAAAAATGTACAGCAAATGCCATTAGTAGATTCGAAAAAAAATTTATTACCACCACTGCATATCAAGTTGGGCCTAATGAAAAACTTTGTCAAGGCATTAGATAGAGATGGGTCAGCTTTTCAATACCTGCGTCAGAAATTTCCAAGACTAAGTGAGGCAAAGGTTAAAGAAGGTATTTTTGTTGGGCCACAGATTCGAAATATTTTGAAAGATACACAGTTTGAAAACACTTTAACAGGTATTGAAAAAACTGCTTGGAATGATTTCCGTCTGGTGGTCACTAATTTCTTGGGAAATAGAAAAGCTAACAACTATAAAACCCTTGTCAAAAATATGCTGTCATCGTATCAAAAGATGGGCTGTAATATGTCTCTTAAGATACATTTCCTACACTCACACCTGGACTTTTTTCCTGACAATTGCGGAGCCGTAAGTGATGAGCACGGCGAACGTTTTCATCAGGATATTTCAACAATGGAAAAAAGGTACCAGGGAGAGTGGAATCCTTCCATGCTGCAGACTACTGTTGGACTCTTGGTAGAGATGCTCCAGAAATGATCCATAAAAGAACAGCAAAAAGACAGCGCATATAGTGGTTCTTATAAGTATATGAATCTATGATATGAACCCTACTACGTCTATGGGTATTGTGGCTGCTCAGTTGGGTATATCACAATACAAAGTATGGTTTACTGTGCATACTGCAAGATTATACCCTTATCACTACACGCCTGTGCATGTGATTGAAGAGGGCGATCCTGCAAGACGATTAGATTTCTGCAGGTACATGTTACATGCAGATACAGAAGATCCAGACTATTTTAAGAAAATTCTGTGGACCGATGAATCGAAATTTGATAAGAACGGGATCACTAACTACCATAATGCTCATTACTGGGCTGATAAAGAAGCTTTAAACCCCCGAAAAAAAAGACCGACGGGGTCTCAGAGCCGGTTTGCAGTCAATGTGTGGATGGGCATCATTGATGGATATTTAATTGGACCTCATTTTCTGCCCGCCAATTTAAATGGAGAAGTGTATGAAGAGTTCTTGAAAAATCACTTGTTTCCATTAATGGCGACAGGACAAAATATGCGGTTCCAGCACGACGGCTGTCCCGCACACTACAGTAGATTAGTACGGGCGTATTTAGACTCTAAATCTCCAAATCAATGGATTTGGCAGAGGCGGGCCCATTGCCTGGTCAGCAAGAAGCCCAGATCTCACACCGACGGATTACTATCTATAACTATCTAAAACTGTAATGACTCATCTATGTTCACGTGAACATCACTTCACTACCAGTAGTCGGCTGTTCATAGGCGGGGTATGAATGTTTAACACGGGTGCACTAGATTTGTCGCATGCTTAATAAAGAGTGGTTTGAAACATATTGTAAGTCAAAAATTTGGGAATTACCTATTCATCGTCGTTTCCACTTACATCTGACAGTAATAAACTGTCGCTATCGCTTTCCTCGTTGAAATTGACTATAGCTGGCTCTATGATGGTGTCGATGTGGTGGTCAAGCTGCCACATTTTTGTTTCTTCCTTCACAACATGACGGATAGCATTCTGCCAAGCTTCGGGTGTTACTAGCTGTATGGAAGTCTCAAGTAAAACCTTAACGTCTGGTAATTTGAAGGTTGTGTTATGGCGCGCAATATAACCCTTCACTTGAGCCCAGATGAGCTCTATTGGGTTCAGTTCACAGTGGTAGGGCGGTAACCGCAGCACAGTGACACCACATTGACGGGCCATCTCATCAGTCACGTAACTAATGTTCGCAGGTTTGTACTGTTTAATTTTTTCATACAATTCCGCTTTCACACATGAATCGTCAAACAGGATTCCTTTTTCGAGCGACCATTGCTGCATGTCACTTTTTCGAGATCCCATAGTCGGTATACGTTCGGCTCGACGACTATGGTAGGAAGCATTATCCATGACGATCACAGAGTTGGGCTCAACTCGCTGAAGCACCCCTTGAAACCAGCTCTCGAAGCAGCTGGCATTCATTTCGTCATGATAATCACCTCCTTTCTTAGAGACGAAAATCAAGTCACACTCTTCTAAAAAGCCACTATCGCTACCAATATGAGTTACGATCAATCTTTGACCTTTCCCTGACGGTCCACGAAAACCTGTTGACAAACCTTCAATGCTTGCTTGTCGGTTACTCACTACGTTTTTGTCTATCCAGGTTTTTTTAACTGTGTGACCTGCATTTACCCATGTCTCGTCCAAATAATAGATTTTTCTGCTTTGTCGCCTATATTCAATCATTTCGCGTAGGTATTTTCGACGCCAGGCGACTATTTCAGGTCTCTCTATCAATACTGACTTACGCGTTTCGTAACGTAAATTAATTTCGTGCAGGGATTTCCTCATTACCTCGACGCTCATTTGGGGTATAATTTCATTTTCCTTGATCGCTGCATGTACAGCCTTGAGGGTTGGTATCTTATTCCTAAAGAAGAATGAATGTACGGTTCGCCTTAACGCCATTTTGCTATCGTCATCCAATTTAACGGCCTTTCGTCCCTTCAAATTAAACTTTAGATCAGTAGTAGCTCCAGTTTTCTTCTTTTCATGCACCACTCTGCGAATGGTCCACTCTGGAACGCCTGTCATACTTTCACAACGCGCGAGTGCATCTCTCTGCGACATAGTTCTGTTCAGATAATTGAACACGGTGAGCACGATTTCTTTCGCGTCCCTCTTCAGTGCTTTACGAAGCCGTCTACTTGTTCCCTGGCTTTCAGTACTTCCACTCGTGCCATTTGTACTCTCCATGGTTAAGTATAACCAAAACAGTAACCACAGAAACCACAACAATAACAATCACACAACAGTTCTTATAAAAACACACAATATGCGATCGCCCAACGAAACACGTTCCAATGCGTTGCCGACGCCTATGAGTCTGCCGGTCGAGGCGCGTCTTTGATTTCATTGGTTCTACCGGCGGAGAACAATCAGCCATTATTTCCATCTCTGTCTGTGCTGTTGACCACCGCACAGCCACAGAAACGACATATGTCGTACGCTATACGGCTGTACTGGAAGGAAGCCGGGATCGAGCTCTGATCACGTGTTGATCACGCGTATGAGTCATTACAGTTTTAAATAGTTGTAGTATATGTGTGTGGACATATGAAATGAAAAGCCTGGTGTACGATGTTTCGCCCGTACCAACGCGCGATGAATTAATTACAAGGATAATCAGTGCAGCCGCTTAACAACTAGAGTTACCAAAAGTGAATTACGTAAGAGAACGCGGGCGTGTATTCGTAACAGGGGATTACAATTTGAGCAGAATCTGTAAAATACTAAAGGAAATGTAATTAAATAAAACTGTAATTAAAATAAAAGCCTTTTATTTATCCTACGTATTTATCGTTCGTACAACTTTACTCATCTTTTTTAATTTTATGTCTTTGTACTTGTTGTAACTTTCATACCTCAAATGAAAGCTTGTTAGATAGAGATATTATTTACATAATTTGCACATTTCATTACTAAGAGATTTTTTTACAGAAAATTGCATTTTTTATCGAATAAGTTAGTAAAAAAATAAGAAAAATAAGAAAATCATATATATATCATATTTATTACTTATTATGAACTATTGGAATGTCCGCTATGCGACGATAACACAAAACTCAAAATCAAACATGTAGGTTTTTTGTATTTCAAATTTAACCGTCTGAAATCGGAATAAAAAATAAAAAAAATAAAAGTAAAATAACTCAAAAACGGTTAACTTCTGGATAGGACATTATAGGACAAAATCGGATGCTTTTGACCTAATCTATCACCCCTTAACAGGAATACGTGACATTACAAGTATATCAAAAATAATTTGATAGCAATATAATCTTTCTCCAACATCGGACTTACGATTGATAAATTTAAAAATTTAACGGAATCAGTGTACCTTTTTTGATCATACATACCTATTATGTGCCAAAGAGTACCTAGGTTCGTTCTGATAGATCGTACCGACTTTGGTCCAATTAAACTCCTTCAGCAGGTGTAGTCTAGGCGAATTGAACGCATTTTCAGACGGAACTATTCGGAAAAAGTTCGGAAAGTTCTCCTTGGTGAACATTGGATGAGTGTCCGCGTACGAAAGCTGAAGATAACGAAAAGTCAAAAATCGTATCACAATAATTCAAACGTAGCGTGTATCATTGTAAATGTCAACACTGGCTCAGTGCGATCCAACGATGTGGAATTTAATAAAGCAGAGGAATGATGGTGACACCCAACCGGTGTTGCCATTCATGCTCCCTGTAATGCTATTATAGAATATTAGTGGTAGATAGTTTTACGAAACATGGGGTTACCTGTGTTAAATGCCAATGTTTTGAAGCCTTAGCGATGGGATCCGTAACATGCGTGCAGGCAGCTCCAAATAGCATAAGCTTATGCGGTCCACTGTGCATCATGTCAAAGAACGCTTTGACTCCAACAGCAGCATTACACTAAGAAAATTAATATTTAATAACGGAAAAAGGTAATTCATATCGACACACGCGTGCAGAATCTACGCGCGATATTCTTCCCATATAACACAGGAATCTCAAAAAGACTGGGGGAGATTGTTGAAAATACATAACATATTATAAGTATTTACTTCAAAATTGAAGTTCTTGTGTTGCTTAAATCTTTCTAACTTTGAGGTATTTAGAAGCTTTGCGACCAAATTTATTTTTATTTCTCACGCTACTGGCGAGGAACTATTGTAATAGCGAAAAATTTAGAAAACAAGATACTATTTTTTTTTATTTCTCTTCGTCATTATCCGTCAGAGCGGTCCGTGGGACCTTCGCTCTTTGTTAAAGTACGATACCAGACAAAGTCAGGGAGAAAGAAAGGAAGAAGAAAGAAAGGAAGGAAGGGGGAAGAGCAAAGAGGGTGAAGTGCGCCGGTTAAAGGGATGCCTTGCTATTGTTAACTGTTATTCGGTTATTTAAAATTAATCCAAAAATTAATTTAGGAATTTTTGCGTGGCAAAAATCGTAATTTTGGTTGGATCTATAATTGCACGATTTGATTTTGATCACAGTGCGAGCCGCGGTCTTGTGTGCTTGCGAACTTGCTCGACTGTGTAGTGACTCACGCAACAGAGGGTTGCTGTGCGAAAGAAACTCTGCAGCTCTTTATAAAGCTCTTAAGTCGTTTAGAATTCAGGATTCTAGTAATACTGACATTCCAGATGATTTAGCAGTTCCCAATGAAATAAATAACTATTTTACCAGTATATTCCAGAAAAGTGATGATGATTGCTCGGAAACTATCGAATTTTATAGCCATAACAAATTAAACCAAGATTTTCATTTTCAGTTCCGTCTTGTCGATATATCTACAGTATTGGATGCTATTCGCAGCATCAAGTCCAATTCCAGTGGTATTGATGGCATTACCATTGAGATGATTAAATTGTGTCTACCTGCTGTAGGAATATACATTTTGCACTTAATAAATTGTTGTTTAGAGCGCGGTGTGTTTTTCCAAGTGCTTGGAAGGAAGCATTACTGCAACCTTTTCCAAAGATTCCCAATCCCCAGGTTCCTGGTGATCTCCGACCTATTAGCTTGCTGTCAGCTCTATCAAAAATTCTAGAAAAAATAGTTTATATGCAGTTGAATGAGTATTTACTAGAACGCAGCATTTTGCCATTAAATTAATCAGGCTTTAGAAAGGGCCACAGTACCACTACCGTTTTGGCACGGGTTTGTGACGATGTACTAACAGCGGCGGATAGGCAAGAAGCAACTGCATTAGTCTTATTGGATTTCAGCAAGGCTTTTGACACCCTGAATCATAAGCTGTTAGTTTCTAAATGTAAATACATTGGGTGTGACGACTTGGTTCTGGAATGGATAGATTGCTATTTAAATGAACGACATCAATATGTCGTCATACAAAATAAACTTTCAGACAAAAGGCCGATTTGTTCCGGCGTGCCTCAGGGATCCATATTAGGTCCACTTTTATTCCTTATATACACCTTTGACATTTCTAACACCCTTCAACATAATTCACGTCTAAACGCATCGAAATCGACAGCTATACTTTTTTGCTCCAAGAAAAAACGTACTTTCCTCAAATCAAAGTTAAATTTATCACTAAATAATAGTATCCTAATATTTTCTCATTCTGCAAAAAATTTAGCTTTGTACTTGGATGAAGATTTCAGATTTCAGGAGCATGTTGGCTATGTGTGTAAGTCTAGTTATTTTAGACTCAGGCTTCTATATGCAAGTAAAACTGTTTTAAATAGAAAAATTAAGAAAATGTTATGCGAGTCACTCATACTCAGTAAGATCGCTTACTGCAACATAGTTTATTATCCCTGTCTGGATGAAATCACAAAATACAGACTGCAAAAAATTCAAAACTCATGTAGTCGTTACATAAACAATTTAAGAAGGTACGATCATGTTTCTCACTCAATATCTTGAAAATTTCTGATCTTTTTAAATACAACTTTGTTACATTTGTCGTAAAAATATTAAAAACTTCTGTTCCGGTTTATCTTATGCAAAAGCTTGTTCGTAGGAATTTAATTCACAATTTGAATACGCGCAACATTAATCTCATGACAATGCCACAACATAGGACAGCCATTTTTCAACGGTCTTTTACGTATAATGCGGTGAAATTAATCAACTCTTTCGAACAATGTTTCATCAGCAACTTTTCTAAAAAAAATATAAGAACTACTTATTGAGCTCTTAGGTTATTGAATCGTACGTATTATGTTTTTCGTTCTAATCGTACGCATTATGTCATATTTATTAATTCTTCATTTACTATTATTCTTCTTTTTCCTTTTCTTTTTCAGTTTTTTATTTTATTTTTAAGGTAGTAATAAGCATTGGCATGACATTTATGGTTAAGTGTAAATGGCCATTGGCCAGACTTCGCCATTTGTAAGGATACATAATTATGTATGTGTTACAATAAGGTCCAGTGAATTGAATTGAATTGAATTCCGCTTGACTATGACGTAACTGCGCCTGATGTTTAATGTAGTCCCTTAGGTAAGGGATGTCGAGGTCTCTGTGAAGGGTCTCGTTGGAGACATACCATGGTGCGTTAGTGATGGTTCGCAAGGTTCTGTTCTGCATAACCTGCAGATTACGCATATGCGTTTTGGCAAGAAAACACCATGCGTAAGTGATTGCCGGACTTTGTTAACCAAACTTAATTTTGAGGTTCTACATAATAAAAGGTAGAGTTGACGAAACGTAATTTGGAATTTAGATTTTAACGCTTCAGTGTGATTCTGCCAGGTCATCCCCCTGTCAAGAGTGACACCGAGATACTTAGCAGAATGTTCCCATGCTATGCGAGCTCCATTCACTGAAACCTCAGGCGGGGTGCCGCTACGTTCTTTAGTACAATAGATATCCTGCGTTTTCGAGTAATTAATTTTGATTAGCCACCGATCTGCCCATTCCAATACTTCGTACTTTGTAACCTGTCGTGAACCAGATTCCCGGTACGCGACTGGGCCACCAGTGCAGTGTCATCAGCATATAGATGGACTTCACAGTCGCTAGGACAAGGGACATATGCGTGAAAAGTGAGTAAGAGATTGGTCCTAGAACCGAACCCTGAGGGACGCCGGCCCTGATGTGCTGTACTGTAGACAAGGAATTATTAATTTTGAACCGAAATTTCCTACCTTCAAGGAAGGATTTCAAAAGTTTTAGGAGCCAAAATGGAAAGCCCTTTTGAATTAGCTAATAGAGAAGGCCCTTAGGCCACACCTTGTCAAATGCCTTCGAGACATCCAGAAGCAAGATGCCAGTACTTTCGTTAAAGGTGAAGCCCCTGGTTACACTCCACAAGCCTAACCGCCTGTAACTCGGTACTATGCTTAGACCGAAATCCAAACTGCACGTCAGGAATCACATGGTGATCTGACGAGAAAGTCGCAAAGTGACGTAGAATCACCTTTTCAGCGGGCTTAGACGGAGCAGACAGTAGGCTGATGGGACGATAGTCCTGGGGAAATATCGAACCCACCTTCTTTGGAATCATTATAACTTCCGCAGTCTTGCACGCCGATGGAAAGTACTGCCACGAGATAAGTCAAGGACTTTCGTGAAAGCACCTTCAGCGCCTTATTAGTGATTTGATCCCCCAGGCGCTTTACGCACCTTGAGGTCTTTAATATGACCTTGAAGCTCTGCTGGTGTGCAATGCCGAATCTCGGGAGAAGCCGCTGAAGAGCTGTGCAACTCTTCAGCTGAAGAATCTTCCGAAAAAGAATCTTTTGAGGAAGAATGACTAATCGCGGCGCCGGGATCACTGACGCCGTTGGCCCTACAATATCTCCTAACGGATCTAACAATTTCTTGCTCCTCGTCGAGATCATTATCAAGGTCATAGTTGGGAGAGAACTGACTTTCCATTGCATCAGCGAAAACCTCGACCTTGTCCTCTGCCCTGAAGACTATGCCCCCAGGACCTTGGATGTGGGGGAATCGTTCTCGCTTTCCGTTTCTGAGCGACTTCGCCACTTTCCAGAGAGGAGTACTTCAGTCAAGCATCCCCGCCAGAAAATCGTTCCACTGCTCATTGTGGAATTCATGGAGAGCATTTCTTACTTCATGAACAAGATTCGACGCTCTGCGAATGTCATCAGGATGAATTTTTTTTGATGTTATATGACATGTACATCGCAAGAAACCACATCACTCATTTCCTTTGGTCTGCTTGTTGGTCTGTCTGTCGGTCGAATTTTGATGAAACTTCTACTTATGTTCATAGAAACTTTTTTTATTGAAGCGACCTAATTTATTTATTTATTTCCAACAGGTGAAACCCAATTACAGGAAATGCTGAAAACAATAACAATTAAAGAGACATGGTTCTTGGACTTAAATCTATAGTATCAACATTCTAAATAAGATTGGATGATCTATAGCAGTTAATAATCGATGCACAATTGTCACTGTAAATATCACACGATTCAGTAACACTGTTCATGACGCAGCACATGAGATTAATTGGCGATTTTGTCATAACATTTGTACGGCCAGCTTGACAATAGAATGCCGTTTGTTGTCGACTCCCTAGCCTTGGAACGCGGAAACATATTTTTTCAAGTAAATTTTGACAGTCAATTTTATTGTGAATGAGGCCATACAAAAACGACAAAGCAGATATGTTTCGTCTTATTGACAGTGAATCCAAATTGAAAAGCTCTAATAGGGCACTATGGTCACAACCTCTTTCTGGATAAGAACCTGTGCATTTAAGGTAAAATACTTTAAAGCTTTACGTTGAATGACCTCAAGATCACGACATAATTTTGGTATATAGGAGACCAGATCAGAGTCGCATACTCCAACTTGCTCCTGACAAAAGTAAAAAATAAAGTCATTAATGTATCAACATTGGAGAAACTCTTCCAGTTTCTGATACAGAAACCAAGTAGTCGAGTGGCAGCCGACGAGATATTGAGTATATGCTCAGTAAACGTTAGCTTTAGCTTGGTATCAAAAATGACTACAAGGTCTCTATAAGAGGTGCATCTGTCTATAACCTGACCATTGATGTTATAATTATCATAAATTAAATAGTTAACATTTCGAAACATTCAGGCTGAGACAGTTTCGTGAACACCATGACGAAATTAGAGCTAAGCCATCTTGCAACATGACGCAATCCTCGACTGTCTTGACTGACGTGCAGATTTTAAGGTCATCAGCGAAAAACAAATGGAAATACTTCAGATCAAAAGACAAGTCATTAATAAATATCAAAAACAATAATGGACCTAGATTTAACCCTTGAGGTACCCCGGACGTGGCCCGATAGTAACTCGACCTATGACCACCATATTCGACAAATAACCTTCTATCCCTCAAATATGAATTCATGAGCGACAGCATTGCATCAGACATACCCACTGTTTTAAGCTTATCCAGAAGTGCATAATGATCAACTTGATCAAACGCCTTCTGAATATCTGTGTAGATGACATCAACTGGTCCCTGACCGTCCAGTACTTCAGAAATGTACTGAGTCATTAGAGCCAAGTTGGTGACCGTAGACCTGCCTCTCATAAACCCATGCTGATTAATAGAGACTGCACCCTGATTGAGCAGTAAACCGTTTCATAAACGATGATCTCAAACAACTTGCTGAAATTGCACAAGATTGCTATTTGGCGATAGTTGGAAATATCAGAGATATCTCCACTTTTGTGAATAGGACATATTTTAGAGGTCTTCCAGATATTTGGATATGTCTCTGATTTTAGAATTAGGTTGAATATGGAAGCCAGCGGTTTCGCTAGTATATGAATGCAATCTTTAACGAAAAAACTTGGAATACCATCACATCCAGACGTCATTTTGTTCTTTAATCTTTCCGAAGCCCTAATTACGTTTTCTTTCTAATGAATCACACGTTTTGTACCGTAGCTAGGAAACACCCTGTATTTGTCTCCATTTTGCCAAATTGAAGAAAATGAATAATATTAGAATGTACATGTTTCTTAAGAAGTTGCGTTTGATTTGGTATTTATGACCATCGTCCAAAACCCAAGATTCTCCATCCGGTGTTTAGCATTTCTTTAAAGTGGTAAAATCCGTTTTAATCAATATCTGAGCCGAATCAAAATATTCACTTGAAACGTTTTTTACATCTCTGAACTGCGGTAGCCGCTTTCCTCAGTAATGCTCAACCACATATCACAATCTTGTAACAAGTTATGGAACTTTAGCAAAGTAAAATGTTTTCCAATAAGGATAAGTCGATGTAAAATATAATGAAACAAGCCGCATCTTCAGAAAGTGGTTTTCATCTAGGAGGTCAGATTTTCAATGATTCTGTCATATGGGTGTTCGTCAATGATATGCGAGTATTTAAGGATTGGAATCTACATGAAAAATTAATGTTAGTTTTCTTTATATACTATGGTAAAAAAATGTTTCCTTACAACTCGGGGAAATGGAAATTAATTAATATTTTCAGAACCGCTTCAGATATTTCACTGATATTTAGTACGTAGTGAAAGTTAATAAAGTTGCATACTTTTCAATGCAAAAATAATGTATAGCTTCAACAGTGGCGTGCGGACGGGTATTGATTTTTTAAGAAAAAAATAGTACGCCAATGGTTTTTTGCCAAATAAAAATTATTTTGAATTCCCGTTCAATTTAAAACAAATAATCTCTCTTGAGTAAAAAAAGAAAAACCTTTCTATTGTCGGAGAAAATTAATGTAATAATTGAAGAATGCAATTTACTTTTTACTCAAGAGAGATTATTTGTTTTAAATTGAACGGGGAATTCAAAAATAATTTTTATTAGGCAAAAAACTATTGGCGTACCATTTTTTTCTTAAAAAATATCGAAGTCAATACCCGTATGCACGCCACTGTTAAAGCTAAAAATAATTTTTGCATTGAAAAATATGCAACTTTATTAACTTTCACTACATACTAAATATCAGTGAAATATCTGAAGCGGTTATGAAAATATTAATTAATTTCCATTTTTTTGCCTAAAACTTCAACACCCCGAATTTTTGTAAGGAAATATTCTTGGACCATAGCTCATAAAGCAAACTAACCTTAATTTTTCGTGTAGATTCACACCCTTAAATATTTGCATATCATTAAGGAACACCCTGTATGTCAAGTTCAATTTGAGTGATGACCTGGGTTACATTTTGACCTTGAGCGCCTCATTTTGGCATAAATGTAGGAAGTAACCTGGCAGTGTATTCATGAAAAGTTGTTTACATGTCCATTCTGGACTGACGATGTTATTAATTCGTCGAAAACGACTTCATTGAGACTACCACCGTTAACGGCATCGTTATATACTAAGTGACATATAAATCCGAACACCCAGTTTAAATGGTTTTGTTTTAATAAAAGTTTGTGAATGTATTTATCTTACTGTAAATAACAAGTGAAAAAATGTTCAGCCTTATCAGTTGCACATTCCGGTTTTCATACTGTTTTTTTTTAATTCACTAACGCTCTAAAAATGAATATTTCAGCCGCAGTAAAGAATCAACGTTGGCGGATTTTGGGTCTTGACATCCTTTACGATCGGTTACGATACCTAGAGTACGGAGACCTGTACGATTTCGTCAACTTAGTGAGTTTGATAGGGGCCGTATAGTGGGACTTCGGGAAGCTGGACTTTCTTTTCGGGCAATTGCAGTTAGAGTGCAAAGAAGTGTAGTAGACACTGTGGTTAGGTGTTGTCAGGCATGGCTTCGAGAAGGCCGTACGCAAAGAGCAAGGGGCACTGGACGCCGCCGTAGAACAACAGACCGTGAAGATCGCCGCCTAAGATTATTGTCCTTTAGGGACCGTTTCTCCACTACCAGGTCCATTGCAAATGATTGGTTTGCAGAACACGGAAGACCTAGTGGCATGCGAAGTGTTTACCGACGAATGAGAAGTTTTGGCTTGTTTTTATACCGGCCACACTGGGTCCTCCCTTTAACTCGAGAACACCGACGTAATCGCCTTGAGTGGTGCAGACAACGGTCACTCTGGGATCAGGAATGGAACAGTATTGTCTTTAGTGACGAGTCTCGATTTTGTTTAGGCATGCACGATGGTCGTGCCAGGGTTAGAAGGCGACGTGGTGAAAGGAGGAATCCACAGTTTTCTGTTGAAAGACTTGTTCATCACACTGTTTTAGTTATGGTTTGGGGTGCTATAGCTTATGGTTCCAGGTCACCTTTAATCTTCATCAGAGGTAACATGAACGCGCAGCGGTATATCCACGAAGTTCTAGAACACCATCTCTTACCCTATCTTGACACCCTGGCAGAAACAACTTTCCAACAAGATAATGCCCGACCACATGGGCTTTAAAGCAGTGCAATCATTTTGAAATTTTTATCATTTACTTATTAAGTACTTATACAAAATTTTATTAAAATAAAACCATTTAAACTGGGTGTTCGGATTTATATGTTACTTAGTATAAATATACGCCCACCCTAAACACTTCCTTTTCCATTGTTTCAAAACTCGGTTCAAACTCACTCATTATACGAAAAAAATTATATAATAAACGGAATTGAAAGACCTTCAAAATAAGGTATCACTCGACCCCCCTTTCCATTTAAGATTTTAGGGTTGGTGTCACCCCCGCCCAGGAGACTGCACGTGTTAACGTGATTTTTTGCCAAACTTGTGTCCCCCTCGAAAACAAAATCGACGGGTTGAACGTTTTTCCAGAAAAAAAACTGTACTGCCAGTAAATGCGTCTGTTTCGTTTTCGATGCGCCACCCTGTATATGCGGTCCAGGCGTCGGCTTCACATGGCCGATATGCCTCTAATCTCGTTATTCATTAATTCATTCATCCCTGAATCATGTTAACTGGCATTCAACTATTGAGATTCCGAAGATAAATCGAAAAAAGAAAATATCTCTCACAAACGCGCTTTTTGCCTCATCCAAGATCAATGATAATAACCTTCTTTCTATCACAAAGCTTGTTTCACTCCACTTTAACATCGACTCTTCGTTATCGTAAAACCATTTACTATGCTGTACAATTTCGTATAAGCTTACATTAACTGTGTCCCCACGTCTTCGTACTTACATTCGTAGTACGATGTGAGGACATTGCAAAGGGATGGGACGGCAGCGAACGGACTTACTTCATTTCTCAAATCCGCCGCAACTGTCTTCCCGACCCCTCTCCCAATGCTTATATAAGTCAAGCTCCACAAAATAAGATTGCAAGAAAAATATGGTCATGTAACGATACCACAGATAATAATAATACGTACCATAGTATCGTTCCACCACATGTGTAGCCTATAGTTCCTCAGTATTCCAGAGTGCTCGTTGACATGATCTAAAGCTAGTTTCACACTCGGCATTACTCCCCTTCCTGGAAAGAGAACATACATTTATGCAAACTTCCATCATATAGCCTTCCAGAGAAGCTTTGCAGATGGGTGGCTGACGACGGATTCTCATCTTCATCCTTCAACGTCAATACGGGTGTTCCCCAGAGATCGGTCTTGGCTCCTACATGCAGGAATTCAGAGTGAAAAGCCTCTGCTGGTAAGCTGGAGGTTATCACTGCTTGTGGACGCAACAGTCTTGTACAGTTTAATGCTTCTAAAACGCAGAACTGTAACCTTGACGAACAAAAAGCGCAATAGCGCTCATCCGGTTTCGATTGATGGCCGAGTTCTGCTAAAGAGTCATTCATTTCGGCTGGTCGGAGTCCAGAACACCAAATGCGTTATTCTTGAACGAAGTACACATCAAAAAAGTTACGCCAGAACAACGGAATCAGTCATTCCTAGAGAATACTTAGTGGACTTTCTAGCTCTAGCTCCAGCGAAGGAAGGTTTGGCTTCACAATGCTAATAATTATCTTTCTTCGGACAAAGTTTGTATAGAAATCGTCAGTAGAGCAGCTATATATAGAGACATAAAAAATCGATATATAAAACAAGATAAACAACATTTACACACTGATGAACTCACAGACATTATACAAACATTTATGTATTAAAAAACCTTTCAAACAATTCTTAAAGTGATTTTTGTTTGCTATTGTATACAGAGTGTTTCAGTTTATTGCTGCATAACTTTAAGATTCGATAGAACTTTTAAAATTAATGCATAAAGTATATATAAACATGGGTCGAAAAATGCGTGGCTTCCGAAATACAGGGTGTTTAAATTTACTTTCTAAAATAGTTTTTTTTAAATATTTCTAACAATATTTGATGTATAACAGTGAAAATTCGTATACAAGGGTTTTTTGGTACGACAAAACGAACCATGGGCATAGTTTTCCTGTAGCCGCTAGAGGGCGCTCTCTACTGTACCTGTAGTGTATTAAAATGACCGAAAATCTTTTCTTAGTGTAATTTTTTTGCTTTTTGAATAAAAAAAATGATTCTTCGCACTTTTCAACATAAAAATGCTCTCTTGCGAATTTTCGTTATAGTTAGCCGTTTTTGAGATATTTCGATTTTTAGGGTTCGATGCATTTTTAATTATTTATGATAAAATAACGTTAAAAAGTCAGTATCTCGATAATTTTTAGAAGTAGGCTGTGCCTGCAAATACCTTTGAAATTGAAAGCAGAATAAGGTTAAACGTCAATTAGTTGACAGTTAGTTTTGTTGTCTGTTGAAACCTGAAACGTTTTTTTACAATTGTGAATGCACGAAATTTAGTTTCTTTTACCTGTTTTTTTTTTGTAAGAGTTAGCGTGTATTCATTTTGTGTATGTCTTTGTAAATGGAAACGCAGCAGAAGCAGCCAGAGAATACGCACGAAGATTTCCAAACAGACGACATCCAATTCGCTCAGTATTTGTAAGAGTGCATCGCCAAATAATTGAAAATGGTTTTGGAAATCTCCAAAGGGATCAAAACATAAATGTTCGTCAGCGCAGATTTACCCGTATGATTCTGCGTGAGTTTGATAGAGATCCGACCACAAGTGTTAGGAGAGTTTCTGGTGCCTTGGGAATTTCAGCCATGTTCACCGTGTTCTTATAAATGACCATAGACGTCCTTACCATTTGCAACCTGTGCAAGGACTACAGCCAGGGGACGGAGAACGAAGAATCACATTTTGTCAGTGGATTCTTGATAGAACTGATAATAATAGGGAGTTTTTAACTAACGTTTTATGGACCGATGAGTCATGCTTCACTAGACGTGGAGTGGTAAATTTTCATAATCAACATATTTGGTCGCATGAAAATCCGCATGCAGTTCGGGAAAGAAATTTTCAGCATGAATTTAGTGTGAACCTGTGGATTGGTATCTACCGTAATCGACTATTTGGACCCTACCTTTTGCCTGCAAGGTTAAATGCTGCGACCTTCTTGGAATTTTTAAAGGCTGAACATGCAAATATGTGGGATGATGTTATGTTAGATTTGAGAAGATTGGCCTGGTTCCAGCTTGATGGTTGTCCAGCTCATTATTCGAGAATAGTTAGAAACTGGCTGGACGAAAATTATCCAGAAAGATGGATCGGCCGTGGAGGACCAGTCGCCTGGCCTCCACGATCCCCTGACCTAAATCAATTAGATTTCTTTGTGTGGGATTTCTAAAAGAAAAAGTGTACCAGACTCTCGTAACCACAAGAGATATGCTAATAGACAGAATCAGGAATGCATGTGATCAAATAAGGCCTTATTTGAATAATGCTATACCACGTTCGATCATTCGTAGATGTGAATTGTGTATTGAACAATTGGGTTTACATTTCGAGCAACTACTTTAGATTTTGTATGTTTGTCCTAACTATCCAATACATTTTAGTTGTAGATAACACTGGTCAACACTGGTTTTGCCACACGAACTTTGACAGCTAATTTTGTTTTATCAGTCTACCCTCATTATTACATGACAGCTGTCATATGTCTATTAGCCTCATATTTGTTGTGATACGGTAATACTCATAACTAGTACTACGGCAGTAAATTAACAGAAACGCTTACAAGTAAATCCTTATAAAAATATTAATTTGTTGTTGAATTTGAACACTTTTTTGTGATTTATTAACCCTGTGAATATGTCGAGGAAGTGTAATAATGATCCTAACTCTTTTTGTTATGTCTGCGGAGAACTAACATTCAAAAAACAACGACGAAATTTTACGAATCTTGTGATGGAGTGTTATCACCAATGTTTTGGTTTTTCTGTCGCCCATCAAGACAAATCCTGGGCCCCTCATGTCTGTTGCATAACGTGTGTGGAAAATTTAACTGACTGGAAGAAAGGTGCACGACCTATGCCGTTTGCTGTACCCATGATCTGGACTGAACAACGAGATCACGTTTCAGATTGCTATTTTTGTCTCACAAACATAAAAGGTATAAATTACAAGAAAAACCCACAGTTATTTACCCTAACTTATCTTCGGCTATAAGACCAGTCTCTGATTGTAAAGAATTGCCAGAACTAATACCAGTTGCAACTACGTCAGTTGAGAACAATTCACAACCGTCCACTTCAGGTGAATGTGTTGACGAGGACGATGACTTTGAGTTAAAAGGAATTGTAAACGAGCCACATTTGATAACTCAATGAGACCTAAATGATTTGGTTCGGGATTTAAATTTGTCAAAAAAGCAGTCAGAACTATTAGGATCACGTCTAAAAGAATGGAATTTGCTACATCATAATACAAAAGTTAGCTATTTTCGAAACCGTGATCAACACTTCAGAACGTATTTTTCTCAGGATGGAGATTTGGTGTTTTGCAATAACATAAATGAGATTATGAAAACGTTGGACATAGATTTTGATCTCTCTCAGTGGCGTTTATTCATTGATTCTTCGAAAGCAAGTCTAAAAGCAGTGTTATTACATAATGGAAATAAGCTTCCGTCTGTACCTCTGGCCCATGCTGCAAATATGAAAGAAACCTATGAAAATATGAAACTTTTACTTGAAAAAATAAATTACAGTACATATTCCTTCAAAATCTGCGGTGATCTTAAAGCTGTTGCACTATTACTTGGACTTCAGCTGGGTTATACAAAGTTTTGCTGCTTTTTATGTGAATGGGATAGCCGAGACAGAACTAATCACTATATAAAAAAAACATGGCCTACGCGTGCATCGTTAGTTCCTTGGCAAAAAAACGTAAAGTATTTACCTCTTGTACAGCCAAATAATGTGCTTCTACCACCATTGCATATCAAATTAGGATTAATAAAAATTTTTGTGAAGGCAATGGATCGCAATGGGAGTGGATTTTTGTATCTGAAAGAAAAATTCCCTAAAATAAGTGATGCAAAGATAAAAGAGGGTATTTTTGTTGGCCCTCAAATTAGGGAGTTAATAAAAGATTCAAGATTTGAAGAAAAATTAAGTGATTTAGAAACATCTGCATGGAAGGCTTTTAAAAATGTTGTTGCAAATTTTATGGGTAACCACAAGAGTGACAGCTACAGAGAGTTTGTTAGCGAGCTATTATTGTCATATCAAGCATTGGGTTGCAACATGTCACTTAAGATCCATTTTTTAGACTCGCACCTGGATTTTTTTCCTGACAATTTAGGGGCTGTCAGCGACGAGCACGGTGAGAGGTTCCATCAGGACATTTCTAATATGGAAAAGCGGTACCAGGGCAAATGGAGCCCAAATATGTTAGCAGATTACTGCTGGACAATTAAAAGGGACCAACCAGAAGCTCAATATTCAAGAAAATCTTAGATTATTAAGTTATTTATAAAAAAAAATAACTTTTGATTTACGAGATCTGTGTTTTTTCTTAATATTTTAAATTACTTAATAGAATAAAATCCTTGTCTAGCAAATTTTTTTTAACTGTTTATTTTTTCTTACAATCACCAATTAAAGTAAAAAATATCAAAAAGTCCGTGTGGCACGACAAAGTTAAAATTTTGTTGACCAGTGTAATTAATTTAATTTGTTAAATATAATATTGGAAAATTAAACAAATTAATATTCTGTTTTTTTGTGTTTATTTGGAGTTAGGAATTATTGCTGTGTTTAAAAACACAATCTAAACGATAATCTTAATTACTTGTAATGCCCAAATCGAAAATGTAAAAAAAAATATTATTTTCCCATAAATAATTAAGAATGCATCGAACCTTGCAAATCGAAATATCTCAAAAACGGCTAACTATAACGAAAACTCACAGGAGAGCTTTTTTATGTTGAAAAGTGCGAAGAATCAGTTTTTTTATTCAAAAAGCAAAAAATTGCACTAAAAAAAATTTTCGGTTTAATACACTACAGGTACAGTAGAGGGCGCCCTCTAGCGGCTACAGTAAATCTATGCCCATAGTTCGTTTTGTCGTACCAAAAAACCCTAGTATACTAATTTTCACTGTTATACATCAAATATTGTTCGAAATATTTAAAAAAAACTATTTTAGAAAGTAAATTTAAACACCCTGTATTTCGGAAGCCACGCATTTTTCGACCCATATTTATATAGACTTTATGCATTAATTTTAAAAGTTCTATCGAATCTTAAAGTTATGCAACAATAAACTGAAACACCCTGTATATTTTGGAAAAATGTTAAAGATTTTGGGAAGTATATTTGGCTATTTATTTCTTACTTTAAATTTATAAAGATTGGGGTGCACATTATTACTCTGCTTCGTGGCAAGTGTGTATATGTTTTTATTGAGAGTAAATTTGGTCTTGTGAATCGCCAGAAGAGCTACCGTTAAGGTTTTATATTTTTTTACAACTTTGGATGTTAGCCGCGCCATTGATCTAGCAATTAGCTTTTGAGCAATTGAAACATGTGCCCCAGCAGAGCAGCTCCAACAACAAATACTATATCTGCGTCTAGACTCCACAAGACCGTAGTATATTATAAGAGAGGGAGAGAGAGTTAAGTTGCGAAACCAGGTAGTCGCAATGTATTCTGAAATTTAACTTATCGTCTAGAAATATTCCCAGAAACTTAACATCATTTGTGAAATTTAATCACGCATTCTTATGTTCAACGTCAGAGGTGTGGTTTATGAAAATTGGTCTTGTCAGTGTTGAAAAACAACTGATGTTTGTAAAACTAATCACTGATCTTTGCAATTACTTCATCATTCAAAATATTTTCCAATTTGCTTGAGACTAATATTGAAGCATTATCTGTATATAGTGCGAACAGCGCATCCTCACACATTGACTCAGTCTCATTGATATAGAGCATTGATTCCCAAAGTGGTCTATATCGACCCCTAGGGGTCTTTGACAGCCTGCAAGGGGTCTACGTCAGCGAAAAAAATTTGGGGTCCATGAAATGAATATGGGGGTCCACGATAGTGGATCTCAACACATACACTGATAGTACCTATTTACTTACATCATACTATCTTATAATATCAAAACATTTTTCATTCATTTTATCATTTACTTATTATGCTTCATTAAGTACTTATACAAAATTTTATTAAAATAAAACCATTTAAACTGGGTGTTCGGATTTATATGTCACTTAGTATATAATAAAATATATGAAATTGCTGACAATCTTGTTTACGATTCTCTCTCTCTCTCTCTCTCTGAATTTTATCACGATATTCTAAACTTTCATAACTTAAAATCTAACATGAAAATAGACTTTTTTCTTAGGGCCATTTTAGGTCATCTTTATGCGCCTATGGTACTATAAAAACATTGAAAACTGACGTTCCTGTCTCTGTATTTTTCGTTTTCTCCCATTTTTTTCACTGTGTTTCCATCGCTTGCAACTTGGAATATTGTAAAAAAATAAGAACACTGAGCATCTGAGAGCCAATTTTATTTGTTCATGCGATCAGAAAACATTCCTAAATTCACGATATTCCTGTTCAGAATTCTCCATTCCTCTCACAATTACCACTTTCGCAACTTGAAATATTGCATGGAAAAATAAAAGCTTTTTTCATCCACTTTATTTATTTATGAGATTATAAAACATTCGAAATTCCTAATCTTAACTTTGTTGTTTAATGCATCTTGAAACGTGGCCTATAATGTTGTCATATAATATATAATAAAATATATGAAATTGCTGACAATCTTGTTTACGATTCTCTCTCTCTCTCTCTCTCTCTGAATTTTATCACTATATTCTAAACTTTCATAACTTAAAATCTGACATGAAAATAGACTTTTTCTTAGGGTCATTTTAGGTCATCTTTATGAGCCTATGGTACTATAAAAACATTGAAAACTGACGTTCCTGTCTCTGTATTTTTCGTTTTCTCCCATTTTTTCACTGTGTTTCCATCGCTTGCAACTTGGAATATTGTAAAAAAATAAGAACACTGAGCATCTGAGAGCCAATTTTATTTGTTCATCCGATTAGAAAACATTCCTAAATTCACGATATTCCTGTTTCAGAATTCTCCATTCCTCTCACAATTACCACTTTTGCAACTTGAAATATTGCATGGAAAAATAAAAGCTTTTTCATCCTCTTTATTTATTTATGAGATTATAAAACATTCGAAATTCCTAATCTTAACTTTGTTGTTTAATGCATCTTGAAACGTGGCCTATAATGTTGTCATATAATATATAATAAAATATATGAAATTGCTGACAATCTTGTTTACGATTCTCTCTCTCTCTCTCTCTGAATTTTATCACTATATTCTAAACTTTCATAACTTAAAATCTGACATGAAAATAGACTTTTTCTTAGGGCCATTTTAGGTCATCTTTATGAGCCTATGGTACTATAAAAACATTAAAAACTGACGTTCCTGTCTCTGTATTTTTCGTTTTCTCCCATTTTTTTCACTGTTTCCATCGCTTGCAACTTGGAATATTGTAAAAAAATAAGAACACTGAGCATCTGAGAGCCAATTTTATTTGTTCATGCGATCAGAAAACATTCCTAAATTCACGATATTCCTGTTTCAGAATTCTCCATTCCTCTCACAATTACCACTTTCGCAACTTGAAATATTGCATGGAAAAATAAAAGCTTTTTTCATCCACTTTATTTATTTATGAGATTATAAAACATTCGAAATTCCTAATCTTAACTTTGTTGTTTAATGCATCTTGAAACGTGGCCTATAATGTTGTCATATAATATATAATAAAATATATGAAATTGCTGACAATCTTGTTTACGATTCTCTCTCTCTCTCTCTCTCTGAATTTTATCACTATATTCTAAACTTTCATAACTTAAAATCTGACATGAAAATAGACTTTTTTCTTAGGGTCATTTTAGGTCATCTTTAAGAGCCTATGGTACTATAAAAACATTGAAAACTGACGTTCCTGTCTCTGTATTTTTCGTTTTCTCCCATTTTTTTCACTGTGTTTCCATCGCTTGCAACTTGGAATATTGTAAAAAAATAAGAACACTGAGCATCTGAGAGCCAATTTTATTTGTTCATCCGATTAGAAAACATTCCTAAATTCACGATATTCCTGTTTCAGAATTCTCCATTCCTCTCACAATTACCACTTTTGCAACTTGAAATATTGCATGGAAAAATAAAAGCTTTTTTCATCCTCTTTATTTATTTATGAGATTATAAAACATTCGAAATTCCTAATCTTAACTTTGTTGTTTAATGCATCTTGAAACGTGGCCTATAATGTTGTCATATAATATATAATAAAATATATGAAATTGCTGACAATCTTGTTTACGATTCTCTCTCTCTCTCTCTCTGAATTTTATCACTATATTCTAAACTTTCATAACTTAAAATCTGACATGAAAATAGACTTTTTTCTTAGGGCCATTTTAGGTCATCTTGATGTGCCTATGGTACTATAAAAACATTGAAAACTGACGTTCCTGTCTCTGTATTTTTCGTTTTCTCCCATTTTTTCACTGTGTTTCCATCGCTTGCAACTTGGAATATTGTAAAAAAATAAGAACACTGAGCATCTGAGAGCCAATTTTATTTGTTCATGCGATCAGAAAACATTCCTAAATTCACGATACTCCTGTTTCAGAATTCTCAATTCCTCTCACAATTACCACTTTTGCAACTTGAAATATTGCATGAAAAAGCAAAAGCATTTGTATCAAATTTGTTTATTTATGAGATTATAAAATATTCAAAATTCCTGGCAGTGTTGTTTCAGTATTTTCCACTACTATCCCAATTTTACCACTCTGTTATCATCTTCAGAAACTTTCAAACACTAACATTATAAATGAAAATCCTGTTTTTTGTACCCTTATAAGCAAACTTTGAGTGTTTATAGGAACATAGCAAAACATTAAAAATGTGTAAAATATTTGTTGATTTTATAGCTTCTGAGATTTTCTATTCATCTACCAGTTTTACTACTATATTTTCATCTTTTGCAATTTGAAGCATTACATAAAAATTAAATACACCTCTTTTTTGGCACCATTAAAAGCAAAATTTTTGTATTTTTTAAATAATCAAGTTCAGTGACGAAATTCCTGACCTACCTGTTTCAGAATTTTCCACTCCTTTCCCAAAAGGAAAGAATCCGGCAATATAAACATCATGCCTCTTATTATCCATATTCGGCTTCTGCAGGCTGCATTGCTTTGATCCGATCAACAGGACCAAGGTGATCACTACCAACAATCTAGGCATGATTGCACTGTCCAAAAACGCAACCGCGATTTTCCGAAATTTCCTCAAAATCGCGTCCGGTTTCATTTTTGTGACGGACGGTGCCAAAGCGCCTGGCGGTCACCTCTGTGCATTTTCCACGAGTTTTTCCGAATTTTCCGCGAGCTTTCCTTGTACGGCGGCACACTCGCACGCTCAGCTGTATTGATCCCCCCTCGACGGAAACTCCGGATGGTGTTAGGGCGTGTCTACACTGGAGTGGAAATTGACATATTGCGCTACTGCCACTGAGTACTAATTTTTGAAAACCCGAGTAGATTAGCGGTGATTTATTTCAGTTACTATCAGTAATCTTATGATAATATTTGGCTTTTTGAACTCTCTCTTTATTCTCAAAATTGACTTACTTTTAATAATAATAATAATGTTTATTTCCAACAGGCAGATACACCCAATTACAGGAAATATCAATAAATATCAATTAAGCACAGTAAAGAGATACATAGATAAGAATTATAGTATACAGGGTTATCCAAATTAAGTGTCCACCATTAGTAACTTTGTTATTAGTGAAAATACAAAGTTGTTTGAATTAGCAAACTAGTAGCATTTTTAACGCTGGTAAAAATGAGAAATAAAAAAAAACAATTGAGAGTCGTTATTTTGATTTTTTTCAGTAAAATAACATTTTTTTAAATGGAAACCCCTGTATATTATATTTTTTTCTGTTAAAGCATCAAATTTTAAACAAAAAAGTTCATAATGACTTTTCCGCTAAAGTCAAAAATAAAGTCAAAATAACGATAAATATTTTTAATTATTTGCAGTATTATAATATTAAGACGGCTATGAAAACAACATGGCGTTCGCGATTTGACAGCATTAAGATAAGCGACAAATTGTTAAACTGGACATACTCGCAACTAGAAGGCTTTGGAAAACAATGATAAAATCAAATAATGTTAAACATTAGTGTAAATACTTGTTTATAAGCTTTATTGTGTCATTAATTTAAAGAAAAATGTTCTCCCATGAAGAAAAGTGTGATATGTTAGAATGCTATTTAGTGTGCAGAAAATCCTCCTTGAGAGCAAGAGAATACTACAGTGAATTATATCCCGCTCGCATTCAACCGTATGAACGATATTTTCTGAGACTTTATCGAAAATTTAGGGGCAACGAAAATGTTTTTGCTAAAACAAGGGCAAAAAAAGAATTCATAATAATCGAGGCCACGGAAATTGCAGTTATTGGATATTTTGAAGCTTATCGTGAGAATTCAATAGCAGATATTCTCAAGGACTCTAATTTCAGTTATGGTACTGTTCAAAGGATTTTAAAAAAATACAAATTTATTCCGTATAAGTACCGACCAGTTCAAACGCTTTTGGCAGGGGATCCAGAGAGAAGACTTGTTTTTTGCCATTGGTATCTTAGCTTCTGTCGCCAAAATGTAAATAACTTTCGTTACCTTTTATGGACAGATGAATCAAATTTTTCAAATTCTGGAATGTTTAATAGAAAAAACCACCATTATTGGTCAAGAGAAAATCTTTTGTTAGTACATCCAAGAGGCCCACAAGTCCGTTTCAGTTTCAACGTTTGGTGCGGTATAATTGGTTCAAAAATTGTTGGCCCGTTCTTTTATGAGGGAACCCTAACTGGTGAAAGATATGTGGAATTTATGTCAGAAATTCTGACTAATTTCTTAGACGAATTGGATCTTATAAGTAGACATCATCTGCATTTTCAGCAAGATGGCGCACCTGCCCACAACTCCAGAGGTACTTATCATTTTCTAAGTACTACTTTTAATGATCAGTGGATAGGAACAAATGGCCCAATACAGTGGCCTCCCAGATCACCAGATCTAAACCCACTTGATTACTTCTTGTGGGGTTACTTAAAGAACCAAATTTACAAGCGGAGGTACGATAACCTTGACGCGTTAAAGACTGCAGTTAGGGAAAAGATAACCCAGATAGATGGTAGGACCATACTTAAGACAGTTCGAGCAGTTGAAAAAACGTGCCCAAAAATGTATTGAAGAACAAGGTGGTGTTTTCGAGCATCTTCTTTAAAAAAAAATTGTTATTGTATTTTGTAAGATTATAAGTTGATGTTGAAAATAAAGTTTGTCGATACAATTTAATTGTTTCAGATTGGAGGCCATAACTTCAACAATTTGTAACCTAGAAGAAAAGTTATTGTAAGCTTTTTTGTTTAAAATTTGATGCTTTAAACAGAAAAAAATATAATATACAGGGGTTTCCATTTAAAAAATGTTATTTTACTGAAAAAAATCAAAATACCGACTCTCAATTGTTTTTTTTTATTTCTTATTTTTACCAGCGTTAAAAATGCTACTAGTTTGCTAATTCAAACAACTTTGTATTTTCACTAATAACAAAGTTACTAATGGTGGACACTTAATTTGGATAACCCTGTATAGGTACGTAATAATCAACCATAATATTCTACCTTAGAAGTTCTTCAAGGTAAAGTTCGATAACGCGAGATTTAGTGACATTATACTTTGAAGTTGAGTCATTAATTTTCAGATAATGATTGTAGAAGGAAGATAAACCAAAATATGTGTGTAAAAATAAAAAAAAAATAGAAAAAAATGTTTACCTTGTTTTATAAAGTATCCTCCCGACAAGTATTTCAGTGCGGACCTGTATTTGATCGTGCGGTCTTGGAGCACCGGCAGGCCGTCCCCTGTAAGGTCTTAAGTCACCTGATTCACGAGCTCTTTGTACTACATTAACAAAGGCACGAGGGGTTGGTTGCACTCGATTAAATAAGAATCATGTCCACAAGTTCAGCATTTTCGTAAACATGTGCCATTTTTTATTTCGTTGAGCCACGCAACAAACACCACTATTCACTCACGCGTTAACCGACTGACGAAAAACATCGTGATAAACGTTTCAAATTCTTTCGCTTTTTTGTTTCCGATGCGATGAACCGATAACGCGGATTATATCCGTTGTTGCCAAACACGAGCACATAATATTATTATTGAGACAGGGCGGTACTCAAACTTCTAAAGGGCTATAACTTTGTTACTTTAATTTTACCAGATAAATGTTAAAGGAAAAAAACATTTCTTTTGATCAGATCTACTCACTGTTAAAATAAATGACTCAACTTCGAAGTCACCCTGTATATGTCGCAGTTACTGATACTATTGAATATTGTACACATCCTATGCCCAGGAGACTTGGACAAGACATTGGTATGGCAGAAATCATAGTAAAATGTGGCACAATAACGGTTACCTAAGCGAGGAACATTAAAACGTATCTTACTTAGAATATATGGACTGTAAACCTTATTGTGGAGTAAATTGAACAAAAAGACAGAGCAGAAATACATATTTCGGCGTACTTCAAGCGGTTTGATATCAAAAGTTTTGAGCAATAAATTATGGTCGAAGCCTCTTTGTGGATAGAAACCATTGCATTTGAAGAACATAAACTTTACTGCTCTTCGTTGAATAGATTCCAATCTGCTAATAGAGTTTTGATAAATAGGTGCTCATTTAAGCGATGCATATTCAAGCTTGCTTCTGACGTATGCTAGATATAGAAGCTTGAGTGTTTCAACGTTTGAGAAACCTGACCAGTTTCTAACACTAGCATTCGGAAAGCAGACGATGTAATGCTATTTATATGATCATTAAAAGTGAACTTGACATCAAATGTAACACCTAGGTCCTTATAACTGTTACTCCTTTCTAACCTTACCTGATTAATACTGTAGTCATCATAAAGCATAACATTCCGTTTTCTGCAATATGTTACTACTTTACATTTTGACACATTTAGTGCGAGGAGGTTTTTGGAACACCATGAATTGATAACTTCCAAGTTATTTTGAAGAAAATGACAGTCTTCGGAAGTTACGATATTATTATAAATTTTTAAATCATCAGCAAAAAATAAATCGACAACCGACAAATCATTAATAAATATTAAAAATAATGAAGGTCCCAAGTTAGACCCCTGGGGAACTCCTGAAGTAGCTATGTAGTTATTAGACTTATAACCACCATATTCTACAAAAGATATTCTAAGAAATTATCCAGAAGCCTAAATCTCAGGACACCGCGGCTGTTATGAGGAGCTTCAAGTAACTTTTTTGACACGATTTTTGAACTTCCTGATGTTAGTATAACTAGGAAAAACTTGTGGATGTGCGAAGTTCGACACGATTAGGGTGGGAGGCCAAAGTCAGGCTGGTCTTTCTGGCAGGAACATCGTGCAGCGGCGTCATGAAGGAGAGTTCTGAGGAGCAAAGCCCGTTGGCGTAACGATATAAGAGAGATCGCCGACTGTCAGTTATAGAAGCGCCATCGATCAGTCGGACAGACAGCATCGAGCATGGATAATGTAGTCGGAGCGGCAGCACCTCAAATGTGTTAGCAGTACTCCAGCTTAGGTCTTATCTGGACCTTGAACTGGACCAGCTGAAATAAACGGCTCTCTGGTAGAACTTAAATTTGAGCTCAAATAAACATTCAACATCAAATTTTTGATACAGGATGATTCACAAGTCGTAACCAAAAATGATACATCATACACAGGACCGCATCTTAAGCGGGGTCTTCTATGAAACACTTTTTCCTCAAGTTGAAGTTTAAAAATAAAAAACATTTTTTTTATATTTATCTATCTACCGTCAAATGGAATGAATTGAAATTTAGTATGTGTATTTACCACCACATTCAAAAGTCTTTACTTAAATTTAACGTACACCAGTGGCGGAGATACAGGGGATTAGCGGCATTATTATTTTAAAAGTACACCACTGTTTTTTTTCGAAACGCGCAATTTTTATAATCTTACCTTCAATTTGCTACAGATAATTACTTTTGTGTTTTTGCCTAGAGTGCACACTGTTTTCGTGATAATAAAGATAAAACTAATTAGATCATTCATCAAGAGTCGAGATACAATTAGCTTCAAAATAAAATAGAAAGCCTTGCTACCAACTTTACTTTTCTTGGAAGATAGTTTGTCAAAGTTATGTGTTATACGGTTGTTATTGTTACTACTACCAATTTTTTTTGTGAAAGTCAAGTCAAAAGTGTCTTTTTCCATTTTTGAGTATCGTGAAATGGAATTTACCAATGATAAGTACGCCGATTTTATTTTTGTGTACGGGTTCTGTAATAGAGATGCTTTAGCTTTAGCGGGAGTATCAACGTAGATTTCCTAACAGACGCCATCCTACCCCAAAGGTTTTTACGCGTACATTTTTAAGACTTCGGCAATATGGACCACAAGTACTAGGTGCTAAGCATTTGTAAAAGATATATGAATTTTCCGAAAAGAGTGTTGTGATGACAATGGAAGTTTTTATGGTGAGCCAGCTGCGAAGATTGGGCTTTTACTCGACTTTTTTTTATTGAAATCATGTTGCGGCTTGTGGTAAGGTGTGATCTTACCTTAAAGCATTTGTCTTTTTATGGCGCAAGTCTCCGTGATTTATTAAATATATGCCCTTTGCCTCCAGGTAACCAGCACTGGTGGATACTCGGACAATTTGCAAATTGAAACTTCCCGTTTTAGACGGAGCGAAACAAAAAACAAAAATATGTGAGCTATTTCTGTACCGGTGCTTGCGCATGGTCAATATTTCTGGACTGATTTGGGAAAAGACGACGGGATGAGTTAATGAATAATTTTAGTCCAGTAAGAGCAGATGCGCTCGTACAGGGTGACCCAACAGTTATGAATCAGGGGCGATAGGGGAGGCCATTTCCATTGCAGATTGGTGTCTGACTTCATTTTTGGCCGCAAGATATCCGTCGTAACTGACGGGTCGTCTTCGTCCCACAATGTCAACGCGGGTGTTCCCCAGGGATCGGTCTTGGCTCAGACATTGTTCTTGTTACATATCAACCACCTGCTACCCTGTACGACCAATTCGATTCACAGCTCTGCTGATGACTGTACTCTACATATATGAATCCAGAGTGACAAGCCGATCTCTGGCGGTGAGCTGGATAGCCGAGTTCTACTAAACAGCTGTTCATTTCGGCTGGTCGGAGTTAAGATCACCGAGGACTTGATCTGGCACGATCACATCTCGTCAACAGCGGCAGCTTCTGGGAAAAAACTAGTCTATTTGTGCAGGGCTAAGAAGTACTTTTCTCAACATAAGCTCCTCACACTGTACAAATCCCAAAGAAGACCCATCCTTGAGCTTGGTATGCTGCACAAGGATCCTGATCTTTTTGAAAAACAAATTGAGGCAAAAAACGGGGTTGTAGGGAGGTGGGAGGGTCTATCGCAATGTTATGATGTTAGTACATTTATACGCTGCCAACCTTCCTAATTCAACGCACATATAAGACATATTTCACACATCAGATTTCTCCGTAAATTAGCCGTTAAAAATTGGGAAAATATTCTCAGCAGACGGATCGCCAACCTACCGACCGCGGCTGCTGCCCCTGGCGGCATGCCGCCAGCCTTTTTGGTGTTAGTGCCATGTCTGATCGAGTTAATTAGCAAGAAAAGGCGACGTTTTCAGATGCACTCCCGGTGGAGCAGGCGAAAAAATGAATATGGACTTACTGTATGCCCTGTTTGACTGACTTTTTTTCTCAGAGGGTCCAGTTTGTGCAGATAATAGTCCTTTATGAACTGATAACGGCGTTGCGTGGGAAGTGCAGAGTCAACCTACTTGACGCTATTTTTTTAAGGAAACAGTAGAACCCTACGCGCAATTGCATTTTGTATTTTTCAGACGTTCAACTTGAAATTTCTGGCCGGACTTTGAAGTTGACTCAATATTTATGATTGTGTTGTCGCTGTGGTAAACTTATTGTATACCTACGAGCCCCTTCCCACTTCAGTTGGCCCACTTCAAGATTTGTACCAAAATATGCCTTTATAAACTAAACATGACGGAACTATTACTTCTAAAACAATTTGTTTTCTCAAAAACCTTTTAGATACACTCTAGTCGTAAAAATACATGTTTGAAATCACTTAGACGCGAAATGCGTGAAGCTAACAGAGCAACAATTGAAAAATTACCATTGGGTAACATCACCTTTATTTTTTATTACAGCTGAAATTTTTTGGGGCATAGTGTTAACCAAGTTTTGACAAAAATTTGGTGTAAAACAATCCCATATTTCTTGAAGCTTTTGTCTCAGTTCGGTGATTGTACGAGCAGGATGTTGTCGTAGAACCTTTTTCATCTCGTGCCACAAAGTTTCAATAGGTGACAGATCTGGACTGCTAGAAACCCATTTCAAAAGTGGTACATTATTTTCTTCCATCCATTTTATAGCCTTTTTTGTGGTATGGCACGCTGCACCATCTTGCTGAAACACGAAATCTTGGCCGGATGTCAAACATTCTTCCATCACTGGTAAAAGCGATTCTTCTAAAATTGCCAAATATTTGTTTGTATCCACATTTTCATCAATAAAATGAAGTTTTCCTACTCCCTTTGATGACATACTGCCCCAGACCATAATGGATGCTGGAAATTTCACTTTTCTCTTCAGACAGTCAACATGGAATGCTTCATTTTTTTGCGAATAACTCTACTGCCAATGTCACCAACATAAACTTCGAATCGGTCGTCATCACTCCATTGTATTGCACATCATTGTTGACGGTTTTTACTTCATTTTTTTTTTACAAGAAAACTTACCTTGCAAGTGCTCAATCCCAGTTTGTGGGCCTCTCTATGAGTTGTGGACCTCGAAATTCTCCTTCCAACAGCGTCACTCCACAGAGCACTTAATTGTAAATAATTGGCACGCCTGTTTTCACGATTATTCTTCTTAATGCTCTTCGGTCGGCATTTGTGATATTACTTTTTTTCACATATCGTGGCTTAATATTGACTGAACCAGTTACGTTATATCTTCTAACAATATTTCAGTAACCGAATTTTCTCACTAATAACCTTTCCTCTACCCATTTTGAAAACCTTAACTACCCAAAACTATTTTAAACGTATTATGACAGCTGTGATTAATAAAAACAATTGTCATGGCTTTTATATTTCACAGCCACCTATGCGTTATAGACTTATTTTGCATTGAAATGAAAATTGTTGATATGCTGTAATTGCAACATGTGTTATTTTTATGCTGCAAATTTGATTAGGGAGTGATATAGTTGGTGTTTTCTACTATATATTATCAAAATACGGAATTTGCATTTTTGCGTTTGCGCACGCAAAATTCAGAATTGTAATGTCGGAAGCGACATTACTTCTTACAATCTCTGATATTTGCTGCTGTTTTTTAATCAGTAGATTAAAAATAGCTTATAACTGTTTCTTGTACGAATCGCATTTTGTTATTGGAATTTCAATACGATTGTAGGTATAACTCTACGCGTCGCTGTATCCTGTATTCATCTTTTTGATGGCCGGTTATTTTGAGAATTCGAAATTATTCGTCGATTACTAAAATTTTCAAAAATTAACTACTGTTTTTTACTTTCCTATCCTTCGTTTTAATTCGAAGCCTCCAACTGATTCATGATGTTGCCTTATCTACGGTTTATGAAAACATGCCCATGTAACACATTGTTTTCGTAGTGTAAAATTGTTAGATATTATTTCTTCTTGTAGACACTTCACGTTGAAATTAAATGATGATGTAATTATCACGGAGACTCCCGAATACTTCTTCAAAAATTGATGCGATTTTTTTATTGTGTAATCAATAGTACTTTGACTAGTCGAGTTAAATGGACACTCCTTTGAGGAGCTGATTCAGAAACACTTTTCTGTTTCTTAGAGAACTAAAATATTGCCATTTGAACAGAAGTCTTCCACAATTATCGAGAATGCTGTCATAATAACTATCTTAAAGTTAACCTAATAACATCCTTCCTTCGATTTTAATGGATTTTAATTTTAATAAATTTTAAAGATTTTTACTTCTGCATGTACGAGAAACTTCGCTGCCCTGGGGTTCGATCGCTGTGGAACAACGGCTGTTAAAAAGAAATAAGAGACTCAGTTTTTTGCAAACCTTTTTTATTAACACAGTGCTTATAGATATTCTCACCAATTTTTGGTTGGTATATAAAAAATAATAACAGTCAGTATAGGTGCTTACATTAAAGGCACTCTCAAAATGATTACTAACAAAAAAACATAACCTTAGCTTGCTGAATGGAAAAATGTACATTGAGAAAATTCAAAAACACTCAAAATTGTTGAACATTGTAGATGCAATAATGGTAACTCGAAACAAAATAAAAGATTTTCTCGAATGTTTTTTAGTGCATCTATGAAAATATATAGCTTTTCGAGTATTTATATTTTTTCTAAAAAAATTGTTTAGATGCAACATTCAAGTATTTGTGTACATTTAAATCGTACGCTAAATAATATACAAAAACAACCAACCTTTCAACAAAATAATAAAATTTATCATAGAAAAACTATCAGTAATGTAAAAATATTATAAGTATGAGGAACGATGTTTTGATGTACACTAGATATAATTTAGGAAAAAGAATATATACGTGATATACTTATATACAATATACAACTGAACTTGCTAGAATTAGATACGTTCACTAGTCACACCATAATTGAAGCTACGAATTTGAAGAATTTCAAATATATTCGTGAAACTATCGTCACATTACCAACAAGTTTCTTCTAAAGGGTTGTCCAATAGGGACGCAGGAAAGTAAACGTCAATTTGACATAGACGCCATCTTTGTTTTCTGTCACCGACATGTCATTTTGTTAGTTGAATGTTTACCATTGATCGCTATGGAGTCGTATTCGATTGAAGACCGCATTAAAGTTATTCAAGAGCACTACAAAAATGGTGCAAAAATAAAAAACGCGTTTCGCGCGGTTCGTGAACATTTCGGTCGCAACAACCGCCCAAACGAAACAACCATCGGTCGTCTGGTGCGTAAATTCGAGGCAACAGGTTCTGTGGCAAATCTGCCAGGCTCTGGCCGGTCAAGGAGCGTTCGCACACCGGAAAATATTGCTGTTGCGAAGGAGAGTGTGAGAGACGATCTGAAACAATCAACAACGCGTCGATCCCAAGAATTGGGCATTTCGAGAACCAGTTTGCTCCGCATTCTCCACAAGGATTTGAATGTACACGCCTACAAGATCCAATTGACGCAAGAGCTGCGTCGGGCCGACCATTTTTCGCGCCGAACGTTCTCAGATTGGCTCCTTGAACACCGCCAAATTGATGCCAATTTTTCATCAAAAATCATGTTCAGCGACGAAGCGCATTTCACTTTGAATGGGACGGTAAACAAGCAAAAGTGCCGCATCTGGGCAAACGAAAATCCCCGTGAGTATCAAGAGCATCCTCAAAAAGTGACTGTGTGGTGTGCATTGTGGTCAAAAGGCATCATCGGACCTTACTTTTTCGAAAATGCGGCCGGGGACGCCTTTACCGTCAATTCTGAGCGATATCACGTGATGATAGAGGACTATTTTTTGCCGCAACTTGAAGGAATGGATATGGACGATGTTTATTTCCAACAAGACGGTGCAACATGCCACACAACCAACGTCAATATCCATCAATTGCAGTCCTTCTTCGGTGATCGCGTGATTTCGCGCAGAGGAAATGTGCCATGGCCACCAAGATCGTACGATTTGACTCCCTTGGACTTCTTTTTATGGGGATATTTGAAAATCCAAGTCTACGTCAACAAACCAACTACCCTCCAAGAACTCAAAAACAACATCATTGCCGAGATAAATGCCATAGAACCGACCATGTTGCAAAATGTCATTGAAAATTTCGACCATCGCGTGGACGTCTGTAAATCCAGTCGTGGTAAACATTTGAGCGATATTATTTTTCATACATAAATGGTATAAATGAACCTTCAAAATAAAGTACCCAACTTGATTTGAATATCAATCTTTCTTGTTTTAATATGCGTTTACTTTCCTGCGTCCGTTTTGGACAACTCCATATAACTTTTTTACTATTAGTCGGACCTTTTTACCTGTGATCTCATTCTATGGGTCTCATACTGAAAATCTTATTTGAAGAGTTTTTTCATTCTTGAAAAAAACTTTCGATTGAATCCCAAAAAACACTCTCATTCTTTATTGTCGAATAAAAAGTTTTCCCACAAAAAGTGGTGGTGCGTCCATGATTTAAATACCCCCTTGAACAACTTGCATCAATAAAACTAGACTTTACAATTATTTCGCAAACCACTGGTATTTTCGTGTAATATGATTAGACTAATGACTGCCTTTCATTTTAAAAATGTTCCAAAATAGCGGCCAGCCGCCATTATGACATTTTCAACTGTCACTTTTACGTTACGTGTTCATGTATAATTTTGCTTGACCTGTATCAAAAATAAATAGGTCGATCTAAAACCATTTTGAAAATTTTTGTAAAATAACTGAAGAAAATTTGGATTTCTTCTAAACTGCATACAAGGATTGAAAATTACTTGTCATGTATGACTGACTACCCTTGAAATGGAATTGACCGTTATGTCAAATGGCTCGCTATAATTGTTTGAATTTAAAGGACCTTGGAATACATGTCAAAATATATTGAATCATAGTAAATAGTAAATTGGTCTCGTCATCTTTGATATGTATTTGACAATATCGTCAACTAATATAAAGGATCATTTCATGGAAAAGCGTCAGGTTGTGAGGTCAACGTATCTATAATATACTCATGGATTCTATACAGATGAGACTAGAGCTAAGAACACAATACACCCTGTATGACTTATATGTACAAGTTTTTCTATGATATCGCATAATCCATAATGAAGATAAATGTAAGTTACTAAATACCTATTTTTTAAATACAAAATTGGAATGATGAGTTATATAGAATATATTTTATAAAAATATGTGTTGGTGGTAGATTGCAGAAGACTACACACTGGTCTCGACAATCTTTTCGTTACACTTCTAGAAAAAACGCTAACAACGGTGAATTCACACAGGTGTTCAAGGTAATCAAAAATGTGTTTCATTATACGAAAATCGCACAGCAATATCTAGATTCAATTTAAATCGTATGCCAAGACAGTGTAACTTTCAAAGTGATCCAATATATATTTTTATCAACCCATACATACTTTTCCAAATACACAATTTTTAGCGTATCGGTATAAATGTTACCGAAGCTGAAATTACATAATTTGTTGCAATCTAAGATTTTGGTGAGCAGTCTCCGCACTTTACAAAAATATTCTTAATACTGTATATGAGCTGCAAAAACGCTAGTAAAAGGTGTTCAATTCCAACAAACATCACAAACATGTAAGGCTACTTCAGTGATATTTCTTACGACATGAGGCAACTGCGGATCCACAAAACCACTGTTCTGTGGATTGATTTTTGATATCAAAACGAAAACATGTCTGTAGTTTGAAAATGCTTCCATATGCACGAGTTAAATGTCTAGTAGCAAAACAACCTAGAACAATTCATTCAATAATAAATCTTGACGTTTCAGCTACTAACACATTTTTATATTATATGCAACTAGTAATATTATACAACTCAAGAAACATAGGGACAATCAGCCCAAATGGCAACAGTGTATGCGTTTTGTTAAAGAACCTAGCCAGTGTTACCATTCTGCATACACTATGATACTTTTAGATTTGATGTTAACAAATTTTATGTCGAGAAAATACTTTTAAAATTAGAACTTGTTCGACAAATAGGTTATGTAGGATATAGAGTTTCAAACTACAGATAACAATTTCTTGCGTCAACAGACAAAGATATTTCAGAAACCTTTAGGCCTCTTTGATAGATACGCTTGATTTTACAGGATTTACAATTTCATAGCAAACATAAAAATTTAAAATCTGCATCAATTAACAAGCTTTTGGTAACATCATTCTAGACTCTCTGTAAAATATTAACAGTACTCTAGATATTTTATTCGGAATCAATGAAATATTTTACCTTTTAGAGATCATCTTTACTAATCCTAGAACATTTGGATAGATATACGTGTGTGTGTGTATATAGGAACGCAATGATAAAATTTCTTAGATAAACTTAATTCGACTTTCCAATATGGGATACATTTTCTAGCTCTTTAAAATCAACAATCTAATAGTATCTCACTGTATAAATCTACTATTAAAATATACTTTTTCCATTAAGGTGTTCCGTAATTATGGCCACTAGCATAGTTTGATAAGGATAACAAGATCGATCTAAATTGCGAAAATCAAATAGCACGCAAAAGTAACCACGCTGTGTCCTATTTGTACTTGTGGAAAACACAAGAAAACATAATAAGTAAGACGCCGGAAATTAATCTGACTATACACTAAAAATTATAGTCATTACTATAGTTTCAATTGTCAGTGAAGTATGCACACCGATTTTCAATAATATTTTATCTGCAACCATGGTTAACGATGCATGTCCCTTTTCTTTTTGTCAAAACTGCATTTTTGTGCATTTTTCCTTCAATCATAACATCTAAAATTGTACGTGAATATTCCATCCGTTTTTATGGAAGAATTTAAAGATTTTTTGAAAATAAAAAATGATCAGAATAAAAGTAATCACCCTCTTAATTCTGCTATAAAAGTGGAATTTTGACATGCAATTACAGAGTTGTACTAATATTTGTTAACAAGTTACGACTGAAGAAAAACTCTACAATAAAATGCACAAAAAAATTAATTGTTTTTTAGTCATTTCTATATACGCCATGAAATAATCAGATGAAAAGTATTTAGAATATGCTCCTGGAAGTTGAGAAAATGGAACATGCGACCCTAAGGGCCGTATCGTCAGTCATTCCTACATATTGTAAGACGCCTTTAAGGCCTTGATTTTCATATGCCTTTCTCTCCTTCATAAAGGCTGGGATATTTCTAGATTTATACTGGTCCGTGTCAGCGTCAGCACTCTCCTATTGTGAGACTATATTTGCTTTTGAATTGCAGGAAATTTCAGGCTGTATAATAGATAATATAAATAAAAAGCATGAACAATTTGATGTAAATAGATATTTGTAACATAACCTCAAAATAGAGCGCTGACTTCGAGCACTAGGAAACTATGAAAATCAGAACTGACGATACGACCCTAAGTGTAGGTTATGGATAGATTTCCTAGTGCGGTAAAGTAAGTTTAGCGTCCACTCTTTTCGATTAATGCTTTACGATGAAAGCAATCTGTATTTATCTGCTGCTGAGCATGGCTACGCCTATGATCACCCAGTGAATTTTTGCCCTCTTAGGGGCCATTCACAACTTTTGAATTACTCTACAGACGATCGCAAATAAAACATTCAATATATCTCGGAAGTAATATGTGATTACGTGCAACTGCTTGTTATTACAACCCGCTTATTGGACTCTTACGCGTCTTACTTATTTGGTTTATCCATGCATATCTTGCGTCTATGAGCAACTGTATAGTCCAGGAAATATCTTCGCATCCTCTCGGATAATATTCTGATTCAGTTTTTTGCATAATCTTGTTACTGTCAATACCAAAAATTTTTTTTTTCGTTGCGGACAAAGCTTTGTTAAGGTTGCTTTGGTAATTTTGAACAAGAAATGTTCTCATGAGCTTCTCTCTAGTTTTCGACATACAAGCGAAAAAATAGCGTCAAAAATTTGTACAATTTACAAAATATTTTTCCGATAGGATGTGAAGACAATTCCTGGACTAATATTATTTTATAAAGTACTTTTATTTAACCTCAAAACGCCTGCCAAAGTGAATTTGGACAGGCGGTTTATTTTTGGCTGTGAAATTAACGAAAGCTTACAAAAATTTCCAACTTAAATGAAAACAAGCCCTAAATTTAGGGAGAAAATAAATACATTCGTAATTATAATAGACAGTCTTAGCAATCACAAATAAGCCATACGTAACTGTTAAGTTTAAGGTTATTTTGATATTTAAGCCTATGATTCTCTGTAACAAATGTCAAAAGGCGTTTACGCATGCGGCATTTGTGATTACAAAAACTTTCCAATAAACTTTAATACATATAATCAAATAACAAAAACATAGAAAAATGTAATCAAATCAAATCAACAACGTACTTTGGTTTTTAATTTTGGTCAGGAGGCATTATCAGATGTTTTTCCTATGGGACGTGTGATCCAACAATGAGAAGCTTTTAATACAAAAATAAGTAAGTTACTACATACGGATGATTTTTTGTCAATTTCAAGTAGAAATATCTGTTATTTTAAGCTTCTATCATACATACATTCTATAACGATTTCAACCTGATAACACCTTTATTTTGGTCCCTGTCCTGAATATATAAATATCTCACAGCTCACTCATATTTCCTCTTCTTAAACATCCCCATGTTCAAGCGTTCCAATCTAACAACCGGCAAAGGTAGCTCAGTTTTCCTCTTAATGATTAACTTTGGTACCACCCCTGCCAGAGCTCGATTCGACTGTACCACTGCGTAGTCGCCCCCTACCTGCGTCACTGAAGACGTCGTCGGCGCACTTTTAAAATCTTCATCTGATTCGCTTGAATCCGCGTATAGATTCCGAAACCTCAACTTCTTTTTCTTTGGCGGGAGTTTTTTGAAGTGCAGTTTGATGTCAGTTTCCTCCTCTTTCCTTACTTCGTAGCTAGAACTGCCGGGGTTTGTCTCAGGAGACTTTAGTTGCATGAGCTTTTTACAAAGGATGATCTCCTTTATTTTCTCAACTTCAGCTTCCGTCAGTTTATCGTTTTTTAAAAACCTCTGTATGATGTTAGGAGGAGATGGCTTTGGTTTAGTCAATTTGGGAATTTGTAGGTTTAAACTGCTCAATTTTGATTCTACTTGCTCTTTGTAAGACCGAAGGATTTCATCTTGAACCGATGAATGATTATTATTGTTTAGAAGATCCGTAGGATCCTTTTGGTTTCGACTAAGATTCACTTTTTCCTCGCAATTACTGTCAACAGCTTTTGAAACTTCTTCTAAGCTACTAGATCTCTTTGTTTGGCTGCTTATTGGTTTTGGATCGTCTACACTCATCGATCTTTTTAGTGGTACTGAAGTATTTCTCTCAGGCGGCTTGATGGTTATTTTCTGTTCTAGAACCTTTTCAATATTCGCTTTTTTAGCAGCTAACTCCTTCTCGGCCAATAGTTTTCTTTTCCTGATGTTGTACTCTTCCAAGCTAAGCTTGCGTTTTGAGTCCACTTTGGGCGGCGACTTTTCTTTCAATTTTGTGTTAGTTAGGGTTGAGCTAGATTCATTTTTTTCGTGACTATTTACTTGGACACGATTTTCTTTAACTTCTGGAGATTTTGGCGATTTTGCAAAATGCGCTTGTTCAGGTACATCATCTTTGACTTCAGAATAACACTTCTCAATTACTGTGCATCTTTCTTTAACTTTTTCAACAGGTAAAATTGGTGGAACCCGATCCTCATCAACTGTCGCAACTAAAGGAACTCTGTCATTTTGAACTGCTTTTACTTCATCTAGCTTATTAGTAGAATCAGCCTTGCACTTATCTTTTAACTGCTTCAGTTTCAGTTTTTTGAGCTTCCGTGCTTTGACTAAATCTGCGAAAGGCACAAATTCTTCGTCCGATTTGGATGAAGATTTTTTCCTAGACCTCGTTTCACTACTAGCCTTTTTTTGCGAACTTTTACTGACAGTATCTTTACTGCCTTTGGAATGTTTACGTTTAGATTTCTCCTGTTTCTCTTTACTAGAACTAACCTTATCGTTATTTGTCTCACACCTAGCGTTACTTTTTTCGTACACATCTTCACTAGTTGTGATGGAAGGTATCTGAAGATCACAGTCATAAGCTTTTTTTGCCGCTTTGGTGCAAAGAGTTGGCTTCGGTTGCTCAAGATCCAGCTGAATCTCATCTTCCAAGTTGAGGTCCATACCAATAATGATCTCACTTGATGGCTCTACAAAATCAGGGTCACCAATCTTTTCTTCGACGTCTTGGCTTTCCGAAGTCACTTCGTCGATCTTCAACGGATCACAAGCACTTAAATTATCTACAGTGTCATAATTATCGTTAAAATCTACAACTGTGGATGAAGAAAGTGGTACGACAGTGATCACTTTCTTTCCGTTAACAGTGTTCACGTTTATTTCAACTAACTCGCCTGCAATCTGCAGTAAAATACAATTGTCATCTACACGGATTACGTTACGATATTGCACTTCTGGATCAGGTACTTCTGGGGTTTCTTTAGTAGACTCGTCTGCTACTATATCTTCAGAGACGGCCAATCTATTTGACATACATGGAGAACATCTGCTGATATCCGTTGTATATTCTAAAACTGCATTGCAATCTAATGGGTCACTAACAGATTGATTTACGTTTTCTGAGTTGACAAGAATTACTTCTTCATTGACTTCATCGCGTTCAATGTTTTCCTCATGTATGCATTTTCCCTCTAAATGCTCTGTTTCCTTTGATTCTGAAACGTCCTTTCTATCGTCCCTATCAGTTTCAGTGTGGTTGACATCATTATTAGGTCTTTCATTATCCAAAGCAAAATTAATTGATGTGTCTTCCTTTTCACCTGAATCAGCGCTCCTGGTTACTTCTGCGTTAGAGTCTTTCAATGTGTCGTCAATAGGTTTTTCGTATTTATCAGATTTGTTAGAATTGCTTGATTGCTCATCTTTAGTCTCAGTTATTTTGACAATTGATATCTTACAGTTCTCGTTACTTTCGGATGTATTAATGACTTTATTTTCCACACTATCACTATTTTCACGCTGCTCCATTGACTCTTCATTTACCAACGATACTTTTTTACTGTTTTCGCTGGAACTTTGATCCGAAGCATTATCAATTGTATTTATTTCTAGAGGCGATACACTTTGGTTTTCTTCAGTTGCAGTTTTGCTCTGACTGACGGTCTCATCGGTATTAATAGTTTCTTGCTTCGTCAGAGGCTCGCGGCTTTCCTCACTATTGTCGACATCAGATGTTACTTTAGTATCAGTAGTATCGGTTTCATTATGATCTATTTTATCAGTCATATTTGACTGAGGTTCATCTCTATCGGTTTCGAAAGTCGATTCATGATTTTCTTTCACGTTACATGTATTATCCATATTGTCATTCAAAGTGTTTTGCTGTTTTTCATCTTCAACAACTTGATCCTCCAAAGCATTTTCTGATCCACTATTTTGAATTTTAGATCAGCCGTACTGTTTTTTTGTACTTGGTCAGTATCAGCAGTTTCTCGTTTCTCACAAACCTCATTTTTTATACCTTGCTTCTCATCAGCCGCGTTTTCAGCTGAGTGATAATTTTCCAATGAAGCATCACTTTCATTGAAAGTTCTGTCTGTATTTGTATCAGAATTTTCCATTGATTTTTCATTCTGATATACCATGCTGTCAATATTGACATCAGGGGCAACTTTTTCATCTATCTGCATTGGAGAATCTTCCTTATCACTTCCTAATTTCACAGCACTTTCTGATTCACTTTCATCTTTCAGTTTATTTATTTCTTTTAGTTCGTTTTGCTTATCTTCATTATCAGTATGAGTTTCGCTAGTGTCTTCTAGATGTTCATTTTTATCCGCGATCTGTATGTCTCCATCTACTGACATGCCACTGTGATCTACCTCTGTATCCTCTATCTCTGCTAAGATTTTTCTTTGAGTTCCTCCACCTCATTTTTCTGCAGTACCTTATCAGGTGCATCCACAGTTATTTTAGTTAGCTCAAATACGTTTTTAGTTTCTTGAGTCAGAAACTCTTTAGTAGCTTCAATGCAATAATTGTAATCACTGATCTTTGGTTCTTTGCATTTATTGAATTGATTCCCAATGTTGTTGATTATATCATCTACCGAAAAAATCCGCTTCGTCCTTCTATGATTGTGATCATGATTGTCGCTAGAGATTTCGGCATTGTACAACTGGTTTTCATTTTCTGTTTCGATTGTATCAGGCGTCGACTCATTGCTATTACCACCTTTCTCAGATTTCTTGTCACACTCCTCAATTTCCTCTATCTTCACTGTGCTTACGTCACCCATGGCATCTGCAAGCATCTCAATGGCTGTAGTATCATCTTTAATTGGTTTGTCTAGCTTGGCTTCATCTTCTTCTTGAGCAGTTTTATTGACGTCGAACTCCTCGATGGTAGGCATATTCTTCAATCCAGAGTCACTATCTGACATCTTAGTATCTAATTCCTCTTCAAGCACTTTGGTAGGATATATCACTGATTCATCTTTGTATTCTTCTAATTCAACTAAGTTTATCGGTGAGCAATTTTTATCAACAGTCTCCTTTTTACATTCTTTGATTATACTTCTTGTAAGCTCATCTTCGATCTTAGTTTCGTCATTTGGGAGCTTCTTTTCTTCGGGTAAGTTTGGATAGTTGGATTGAATAATCGTATTTTGATGTATGACCACTCTAGGATTCTCTTCGAACTCTTCTAGTTTTCTTTGGTTTGGTTCATTTGGTTTTCCTGCTAGCATGCAGTCGGTTTTGACGGTATCCATGATATGTACGTTAACGACCCTTTCTCCACTCTCTAGATCTATCTCACTTTGCTTGTTGAAAATCCTTAATCCTGAGGTGTTGTCCAGAGTCATTCCGTTTTTTATTATGTACTGGCCATTTTCTGATGTCACTTGCTAGAACAAGGTGAAAAATATCGTTAATAAAACCGAGAATCCAACAATGTGATGTGATGAATCACATTTGAAATGATGGAGTATTGACTCGAACTGTCAAACAGAAAATTACGTTAATGATAAAGAGGAGAATTGTTTGATCACACACAAAATATTGTGACAAAGGTGTATGAAGAGAAATTAGTAGAACGGAAACGGTTCATACTGATGCATGTCCAGCTGTATGGAGAAGTTACTAATAAAGCTATTCACTGTGTTGATACTCAATACATGCAGAATATGTCAGCAAAAGAAGAAGATATACTCACCAAAGGTATTCCAGTTTCCGTAACTAAAGGAATGCCCGAGTTTTCGAAATATTGCAGCTCCGAGGCGTTGATCATATAGATCTCCGCTGATTGGTCCTCTCTCGGTATTCTTGCGCCATCTTTGCACATATCCACCGTTTCCATTGGCATTTCTGTCACAGCCTCTTCCTCTGCCCAGTTCTCCAGGAATTGTTTCAAGTTATTCGAAACTGGAACTCGACTTTCCTGAATCTCAGTCGGGGGCATTTGGTGGGGAAGGTACTGGGTTTGTCTGAAATTTTAGATTAAATTAGAGATAATGTACCCTGAAACGGAAGATCTCAAATTGTGACACAACAACCGTAAAAACTTGTGACACGCATCTGGACTCGAATTTGTTTGTTTGTTGAAGATTTATTTAGCATTAATGCTACAATGTCAATTTTGTATAATTGTTCATTTACACATTTTTGTAACTTTACGTTCTTGTCTATCAAAATTACATCACTATGCATTTTGAGTATTCATAAAGTGATTTTTTAATTTCATCTTAAACATTTTTTTAAATTAAAATACCCCCTTTTGAAGCAGATTTGCCATGTATGATACTATAACAATTTTGCAAATAAAAATCTATACTGCCTCTAGTTTCCTAGTTATGATAATGACTATGTAATTTTGTGAAGTTTTCTAAATAACATATAATTTTTTTTTATATTCAACTACTGTAGTTCATCTAGCGCAAAGTTAATCCTAGCGTATTTGTTTTTATTTAAAATGATTCTCATAGCTTTATTGTATAGAATTTGTAATTTTGAAAATATGTTTTCATTTGCTGTGAACAAAATGGTTTAACTGTATTAAAAATTGGGAAGAATTATAGCGATACACAATTTTTTGGAATACATAGTAAGATTGTGTGAAACTCTATAGAAGTAATTTTTTTTTATATTTTTGAAATAATGTATTCATAATGCTCATGAAGCAGTAGTTTACTATCCACATATATACCTAGATATTTAAATAATTTGCTGATTTTTTGCATCATTAATGTTTCCCTAGTGACATTCATTATTTTTATTAGTGTTTAATTTGGTTGATTAATATTTAACCAATTCATATTATTTTAATATCACTATTTAACAGTTCTAAAGCAGTGTCCAAATGTTTATGTGCTATATATATATATTATATATATTTTTACAACCAATATAAAAATAAATTTATAGAGCTTGCAAGGCAAACCAAACGAAAACATTACCTAAATAAATTGAATAATAACTTAAATGATCCTAAGCGGCTTTGGACAACTATTGATGAGATTACTGGGAAAACAAAATTTAAAGAGTGTGTCACTGAGTTAAATACAACATCGGGAACAGTATTAAAAAATACTCAACAGATATGCGATGAATTTGTACAATTCTTTACTGACATAGGCGAAAATTTAGCAAGTAATATACAAGCAAATGTACAAAATACTCAGCCTCCAAAAAGAACTTTGAACTCATTTATTTTGGATAAAGTCGAACAATATGAAGTATACACCACTGTTATGTCCTTAAAAAATCGGAAAAGTCCTGGGTTCGATGGTATTAAAAGCGAGCATTTGAAAATACCTAATTAACAAATGCTTTGAATCTGGCATATATCCCTCAATTTTAAAAAAAGGTAATATAATACCGATACATAAATCAGGAACAAAAACAGATGTTAACAACTATAGACCAATATCAATAATATCCAGTGTAGCAAAGGTTTTTGAAAAAGTTTTATCTACTAGAATGATTCGATACCTCACAAAATTCAAAATTTTAAGTGAAAATCAATATGGATTTACAGAAGGGAAGGCTACATCGGACGCAATAACTAAAATTGTAAATCAAATATATCAAAATATTGATATCAGAATCCCTTCAATCTGCATTTTTGTTGATTTAAAGAAGGCTTTCGTCACAGTTAATCACAAAGTATTATTAGAAAGCATTGGAGAGAATTGGTTTCAGAGGAAACGCGTACTCACTGATCGAAAGTTATTTGTCAAATCGCCCACAATCTGTGCAGATATCAGGATCATTTAGTAAAGAAATGTATATTAAGTGTGGTGTCCCACAAGGAACTGTCTTAGGTCCGCTGTTATTCAATATATATTTAAATGATATTTTCCAAATTAATTGTGTTGGCAAAATAACTAGTTTTGCAGATGATACTGCAATATTATATGAAGGCACTGACTGGTCTGATCTGAAAAATGTAATTGAAAATGATTTTATCAAAATTATTCGGTGGTTTAACAGTAGAAAATTAAGCATTAACTACTCTAAAACACATTTTTTACCATTTGGATCTTATGCTAGACATCTGCCAAATTACACAAATTTCTCCTTCAATATTAATGATCAAAAAATACAAATTAATAGAGTGCCCAACATAAAATACCTTGGAGTGGTCTTGGATCCTCACTTACGATGGGACATCCATGTCAATTATATTTTAAAGAAAGTTAGATTTGTATCCTACAAAATTAAATATACCTTGGGAATATATTGACAGAAAAATATCTTCAAACATTATACCATGCACTGATTGAGCCTCATCTCACATATCTATAATTTAGATGTTTTTCAAAAAAGTATTCTAAAAATGATATTTAAAAAACCGAAACTTTATCCCACTGAAAAATTATATGCAGATGTTCGAGTGTATGATATAAGACAGCTTTATTTCTTACACAGTATCACTCACTACCATAAATTTGTAAACACAAAGATAATCATTATACCAGATACAAAATTCGTGGCACAGTAGTTCCTCAACCGCATAAATCTATAATGCAGCGATCATATCTCTATTTAGCGCCTAAATTTTATGAAATTATACCTAAAGACTTAAAAGATTTACGTTTCGGAAATTATTTCAAAAGAAATTTAAAAAAGTGGCTACATTCTATATCTAGGACTGAAATTCATAAACTCATAAATACGAACATCAACTAAATACATAATCTACTGTAGCTAATTTTTGTCCTTTTTTGTCATTTGCATTCTACAGTTTCAACTTAAATTATTGGTCCATGTACAGGCGATGCCTTCTATTGGGCCTGTTTTGATTTTATATTTATTTACTCATATTGTTTGTTATCTTTGTACATTGAGTAAATAAATATTATTATTATTATTATTAATATATAGGGTGGCCCATCCATGTGTGGACGGAATATTACTCATAAACAAATACATTTTGGGAAAATCTATTTATGGCATGTCATACATGACATTTGAGGGCACATTGATAAAATATTGGCAATTATACAGGGTGTCCCATTTTGACCTACATATCAAAGTTGTGATTTTTTAAATGGAATGCCTCAAATTTTATTGCATATTTGAATAAAACAATTCAAAAGAAGAAGATTGATATAACATACTATGGGGTTTTGGTAATTAGCTACTGAGAAAAACCGACCACTTCGGCAACCCCTCAGTCCGCCATTTTGAAATTTGGAGTGCTGAATTTTGTATCAAAAAAAAAACTTACACACCTCAGCTTTTATCTTATTTGTTACTTTTTCGAATTTTCTTTTTGCTCATACAGGGAGGTAAAAAACGCGAATTGTACTTCTACTAAAAAATTTCAAATGCATCACCCCGTATATTTGTGCAAGTTTGGATCC